AGTGGAGCATGCCGAGCTTAACCACTAGGCCACAGAGCTGGCCCCTACTGGTGCTTGTTTAGATGATAATGGAAAGGAGAGCAGGGAGAGAGAGGTGAAGGATGCAGACGGGTAGGAAATGACCAGTGGATGACCAGTTTCTCTGAGAAGGCAGAAGCCCTGGAGCACATGTGGAGAACCTGGCTCTGACAGGTCATAGGACACTTCCTCCTTCCTCTGACTGTTCTTTTTCAGCCTCTCCTTGGCCTTCTCCTCCTCCACAGGGCGCTCTGTAAACATTGTTTTTCCCAGGATCCCAACTTCAGCCTCCTCTTCTCACTCTCCATGTTGTTCACTGGTGACATCATCCATTACTCTGACTTTACCCCTTAATTGCCATAACTCTCAAATCTCTATCTCTAGCCCAGATGTCTCTCCCCATGTGCAGACTTGGTGATTGTCCAACTGCAGACTGAATATCTCCATCTGGATGCTCATGGACAGTGGTGTACTGGAGTCAGCTGGTGCCAGCTCAGACTAGCTCACAAGAGCCCATTGTATACCTCTCTTCCCAACTCCTTGTTCAATGAAGTCATGTTGATAGTAGTAACTTGTAATTGACATGGTAGGAGTATTTACACCATGGAAATCAGCAAATACTTCAGATCAGGGCTCCATCTCCTCAAAGAGCTGGTTGTTAAAATATTTACTACACACCACTGTTCACAGACGTCTTACACTCAACATATTCAAAACTAAATTAATCCTATTCGACCTCACCCTACCCTGCCCAACCCTACCCCTTCTCTGAATCTCTTGGCCCAGTTAACAGCATCCACCATCCAATCAGGAGCTTCTCACTCCCTCATTCCCCATATCCAAAGGATAGTCAACTAGTTAGGGTGTAGTCAAAACTGCTATAACAAAGAGTCCCAAAAATTCAGTGGCTTAAGCGACAACCCCAAAATAGATCCTCCAGGACTGTGGGGGCATCTCTGCCATCCTCAACATGTAGCTTCCATCTCTGTGTCCAAAGTTGCCCAGGAAGCTCCCACTATTGTATCTGAATGCCATCTATTGGGAAGGGGAGGGGGGTGGGAGGAAGCACACGTTCTTTCCTATTGAAGGACACCACTAACTTCTACTTAGAATTTGGCCAGATGCAAGGAAGGCTGGGAAATGTAGTCTGTAGCCATATACCCAGCTAAAGCATTTTTAATAAAGAAAGATGGAAGATGGCTATTGATGTGAGGCTAGCAGTCTATGTCATTGGTGGATGCATCTTGTCAGTGCTCCCTCTGGAATTTTGCTTAAATCCATCCCTTCAACTGTCTGCCGACTACTGTTACCTTAGTTCTTGCCTATTTCCTGGCCTTTACAATAGTCCCTCCCTAATCAACCTACCATATAGCTGTCAGAGATATCTTTCTAAAATGCAAATTGGATCATATACCTTAGCTGTTAAAAGCCATGCAGTATTTCCCTATTGATTCCAAGAGAAGGGCCAAACTTCTTTGCATGGCACACAGGCTGGGTCTTGTCTCCTCTACTCAGAATACCTCCCATCCCCACGCCAACTCTACTTCCTTGTCAGCCAGGAAAATTCAGGTCATTTTCTCAGGCTTAGTTTAAATATTGCCTCCCTGGCCACACTCTTGTTGCTGCCCCACTGCAATGCTGGCTCCCTTCCGATTGCAGCCCTTACTGGACTGTTCATTTCTGGGCACTTGCCACCTGCGCTAGGGGGTCCCTATGAAGCCAAGACACCTCTGTGTCTGGCAGAGGCTCTGGAGAGGTAAGAGCTCACCAAGCAATGAACAGACCCTCACAAGATGCCAAATCATTTCCAAGGTGCGGGGTCTGAGGGTCCTGACTTACCACCTTTGACGTCATTACCAGGTGCTCAGCCAACTGAATGTGGGCCTAGAATGTGAGAACCTCCAGATGATTTTATTGAGTTAATTGTTTAATCATCCATCTTCCAGGAGAGACATTACACTCCATGCGAAGTTATATGAGCCGTTCTATTCCCAGTGCCTATCAGGGACCTAGAGAACATCTATGAAATGAATAGAAGCATGGCAACATTTTCCCCAGATCAGTACTTTTCACATGCCACAGTTCAAATCTCAGCTCTATCACTTACCAGCTGAGTGACCTTGGGCAAATTACTGAACCTCTCCATGCCTCTGTTTCCCCTGCAAAATGGGGATAATAATCGAGTCATTATGAGGACTAAATTACTTAATATTTGTAAAGCATTTATAACAGTGCCTGGCAGAGTAGATGCTTTGTGTTTGCTAAATAAAAATAGGGTTTACGCATGAACAAGTTAGTCTTTGATGACTTTTCCAGTCTCATCTCCCCCTGATATTGGTCTCTGTCACCAGCTCATAGCCAACTGTCCTTCTAGACTGAGCTCCTAACTATTTCGACATATGCCAGAAATGTTCACGTCTCTAGGTCTTTGCACATGCTCTTCTCTGTGTGGAAGACCTTCCCCACCTTGTTCACCAGTGAGCCCTTATTCATCCTTCACAATTCAGTTTGAACTTCACTGCTAGAAGCCTCCCTGGACTCTCGGAGACAGGTAGCCCCTCCCTCCTCTGGGCCTCCATTTCACCCCACTTTTGTGCACGTCTGAGCACCCCACTGCACCAAAATTCCTTGAGAGCAAGGATATCTCTTATGACCTCAGTATTCCTATGCCTCTCGCAATGCCTGGCACACTGTACGCATAAAAGATGTTTGTTGAATCAATGAATGGACGAACGAAGTATATTAATAACCTTCACCTTAGGCACTTCCATAATACAATAGACTATCATGTCAGATCCCATGACAAATAAAAACGGGCCAGAGTTGACTGGGAGGTTCTATAGTCAGCCTACATGAGAGGAAAATCCACTTCTCATTACCAAGTAGGCTACAGATTTCTAATTTATGAATAATAATATGATAGCCTCAAAAACTCCCCAGGGACATTCTTAGGACTCAGTGTTTACTGGATGGTCCTGGGTGCCCAGCTGTTAGCCAGGGACTTGATTCTGGCATCAGATGGAGTCCTCATCACCGGCCATCTTACAGATGGGGACAGTGAAGCTTGGAGAGGAACACAGAGGTGTTATGAACAAGGTCATCTCTCAACTGGCTGAGAAGAGATGTGAGTTCGAGTCCCGGCTCTGCCCCAGTGGGCTGTGTGACCCAAGACAGGGCCTGGCTTCTATCTGGGGAAACCCCTGTAAAACCCAGAGTTTGGATCCATGATCAGTAAGGTTTCTCCCAACGGAGGCAGTTTCTGAATCTGAGATCCTGAGTAGGGTGGGGGAGGGGGTAGAGGTAGTGGGAATTGACAAGATGAACTTACAGGGGAAGGGAAGCAACGTCATTGTCAACAAAAGGAGAGTTGCAGGCCATGAATAGAATCACTTTCCTCTCCTCCAGTGTTCCCTTAATCCTCACCTCCGCATTTGGAAAGATGAAGAAATGCAGGCACTGGGAGGTTAAAGGGCTCATCCAATTCATGCAGGCCTCAATTTATAGGGAGGCCAATGACTGACCTAGGGTCACTCAGGACTATTGCAATTTCCTGGCTCCTTAGTCAGCTCTGTCCCCTACAGCTCACCCCTCCCCCTGAAGCCTGGACTCCTCCAGTCTGGGGAGCCAGGCTGGACTTGGAACCAACCCTGGGCATGTGAAATGCCACTGTTGCCAGTGGGTAACTGATGAGCCAGCTCAAACCATCTGTCCTTTGGCTGGGGACAGGTGGAGTCTCTTCAAGAGTGGGCATCTGGTGAGCAGAGAACCTTCAGGGGCATGCAGCCATCATACAGTACCCTCTTCCTCTGCCATCTCTGGTCTTTTTTTTTTTTTTTTTGTGAGGAAGATCACCCCTGAGCTAACATCCATGCCAATCCACCTCTTTTTGCCGAGGAAGACTGGCCCTGAACTAACATCTGTGCCCATCTTCCTCCACTTTATGTGGGACGCAGCCTCAGCATGGCTGGACAAGCAGTGTGTCGGTGCACGCCCGGGATCCGAACCTGGGTCGCCAACAGTGGAGTGTGCGCACTTAACCTCTATGCCACGGGGCTGGCCTGCCATCTCTGGTCTTAATGCTCCCTCTACCCATAAACAAGTAGGTAGGAGAGCCCTCAACACACATGTATTCACATGCACACATATATACACATACATAAATACATATGCACATGCACACATATACCAACACACAAACCATATATACAGGCACACACCTACACACATGCTCACATATTAGAGTCTCTCAGCTAAGCCAGGCTGTCAGAGCTGCTCCTTCACCTTCACTGTCAAAACTGCTGTGGAGGTGTGGTCATGCCAGGAGCCTAGGAGAACTGAGGAGCCAACTAGTGGAAAACATACTTGCTTGATAAATGCCTCCTGAGGAGAACAGATGAAGAGAGAGGGAAAGAGAAAGGAAGCTAAAGCTGGGTTACCTGAGCGCCCATGTGTGAATGTGTGTACACGTGTGTATGTATAAGGCCCAGGCACGAGGGGACCAGCGAGGAAAAGAGGGCCCCTCAGAAAGACAAGGGTGGAATGAAACAGGGAGAAGATGGAGACACACCTTCTCCCGCACCTCTCTCTTTCTTTCTTCCCTTCCCTCCCTCTCCAGGTGATATCATTCAGGCCTGGGTATGGCAAACCATACTCAGGAGCCTGAGAATGGATGACTCTCTGGGACTATAGCGCCCTGTCCTAGACCCCATTTAAAAAAGCGAGGAGCAGGGGTCCCCATCAGTCACCCTGCGGAGTCCCGGTTTCCGGATGGACAAGGTTTCCATTTCTTTCATATGCCTTCTCTCTACCCTGCCTATCCCTAGGGGCCGGTCTGGATGTCCTTGCCATCCTCCACCTAGTTCCTTCCTGGCTGCCTAATGTTGAGGTGTCTGCACCTTTAAAGCAGCGGCCCCCGGCCGGGTTATTGTCTCGCCTCGCAGCCAATCGGCGGCGCCGTTGGGGGCAGTGGATCCGGCCTCCCGATTGGCCGCCTGGTGCCCCGCCCCGCCCGCGATCCTGGGAGCTGTCCGGCCTCCTCGGTGCTGATCCCGCCGCCGCCCACGGGCCGCGAGCAGCGCTGAAAGGGCACTATGAGCGGGGGCGTCTATGGCGGAGGTGAGCGAGCCTCGGGCTTCAGGCTCCCCAGCCTGGCGCAGCCTTGCCCGCAGCCCCGCGCCCCGAACCCGCGCGACCCAAGCTCTGGGCACCCGGGGCCTGTCACCTCGGCGCTCGAGCGGGTCCAGCCCGGGGTTTGGGTCCTGCGACACTCCTACCTTCAACCCTCACGGGACGCTCTCGCGCACTGGACCCACCCTTTCCGCCATTCAACCCACCTCCTCCTGGTCCCCGGCCCCTTCCTTCCCAGCAAGGAGAGTGGCCTGAACAAGGCCACTGGGCAAGAAGGGACTCTGGAGGTTTGACCCCCACTCCCAGGACCCGGACTCCAGGCCGAGCTCCCACCTGCCCCGGCCGGCGTTGAAGGTGGCGAGACTGTAGCTCTGCCCTGACCTCCTCTCCGGACTATCCACGGGGGAGAGATTTGGGGAGAGATCCCCCTTACACGCCTGTCTCCCCGCACAGATGAGGTGGGGGCGCTGGTCTTTGACATTGGCTCCTTCTCAGTCCGCGCTGGGTACGCTGGGGAGGACTGCCCCAAGGTGAGCCTTCAAGCCCCCTCCCCAAATCCTAGGGGCTCTGGACTCCCCTCCAGGCTTTCCCGTGGCCCAGGCCTCTCAATGCACAGCGAAAAGCTCTGCTGAGCGGGAATGTGGGAGTAAACCCAGGGGCGGGCTGAGGGCCTTGCCGTGGGCCTGGACAGGGGCAAGAGGTTGATCCCTTTCCCTTACCATCCCCCCTTCCAGGCTGACTTCCCCACCACGGTGGGGCTGCTGGCCGCGGAGGAGGGGGGTGGGCTGGAACTGGAGGGGGAGAAAGAGAAGAAAGGGAAGATCTTTCACATCGACACCAACGCCCTGCACGTGCCTCGGGATGGAGCGGAGGTCATGTCGCCTCTCAAGAATGGCATGAGTAAGGGATCTTTACTCACCATCTCCTGACATAGACCTGGAGCACCCCACATCCACCCCAAGAGTCTTCCTTGCAGCTGCCCAAGTCCCGGGGATCCCCTCACTGCTTCCCACAGCCACCTGGTTCCCAACCCAGAAACCCCACCAGATTCCTGGGAAAGAGGGATTTCTGTTGGAGCTGGGTCTCCCTTCCCCTCCCCTGAACTTGGCCTCCCTCCTCCCTTTCTTTCCTGTCCCGGAACCCCTGCCTGCCCATCTTCATCTCTCCACACTGGTCTCCTGGCCCCAGTCGAGGACTGGGAGTGCTTCCGTGCCATCCTGGACCACACCTACAGCAAACATGTCAAATCTGAGCCAAACCTGCACCCAGTGCTCATGTCTGAGGCCCCGGTAAGTGTCTCATCATCTCATCCAGCCTCTAGTCCAGCCCTGAGCCCAGCATCTCCTTTCCACCCTTCACCTTGCCCCTCAAGCCACTGCTATCAATCACTCCACTTGGCTTTTCAGACTTTCCTTCCAACTCCATCATCTTCAACTACTTTCCTTCCTCCCTGTTTTAGTCTCCATGTTTCCCTCTCTCCTCCCACTATATCTACTCCCCCATCCTCCAGTCGGCCTTATCCACTGCCCTTTTTTCCTCCCAAAGTCCCTTTTTGACCTTTTAACTTAAAATTTTTGTCAATATTATATGTGCACATAAAAAATCAATTTGCTTTATAAAGTATGTTAAGAAAAAAACTACCATTCTTACCCTCCTCCTTCCATTTCCGCTTTTCCAGAGGCAACTGCTTTTCTCTCTTTTAGCTAATTTTTTTGGTCATATCTTTCATATCTCTGAATATCACACTCCAATAGCTGCTTGTTGATTTTTTAGTTTTAGGCATTATCTGTGGATTTCCCCCTTGGAAGGTGAACATTTAGCTCTCTTTCCTCCCCCAGTCCCACACACATATTTCTCATTCCCCATCTTTAAGTACAGTTGTATTTTAGGGTTTGTTTAAGACCAATATTTGTTATTTACACTCTTTTGATTATGTATGCTAATCAGGGCTGAGGCGGGCAATAAACAATGGCTACTTTTCCTTTCTTATGCAGCTTTTTGTTTTTCCTAGAACTGAAAATTGTCTTGGTTTTTATTTTGCATAGTTTTCTATCTACTTAAAAATGTGACTCTAAATTATTCATTCATCGGTTATCTATATCTTTTCTCAAGACATTAATTCCTTTAGGAATTTTATCAATTTCATCATCTTGAGGAAATCTCTCCAGGAGCCCATTGATCTGCTCCGTTTTGGACTAGTTGCCTTCTGTGCAGAGGACATAGTTATCATCTGACATCTCCCTTCACTGTCATTTTAGGGAATTCCTTTGCCTCTCTCCTGTGTTAGAAGTCCTGTTTCCTGTATCTCATGACTCCCTTTCTTGAGTTACTACCTTGCTTTCATGGAGTACATCCTTCAGTAACTGCCTTAGAAAGGTCTTGGGAAGTAAGATTTTTGAGACCTTGCATGTCTAACCTTAGATTGATACCTTAGCTGAGTATAACACTCCAGGTTGGAAATCATTTTTCTTCGGAATCTTGAAGGTGCTTCTCCACTGTCTTCCAGCATCTATTGTTGCCATCAAGAAGGCTGAAACCATATAATTCCTGATCCTTTGATGTAATTTTTTCTCTTCCTGAAAGTTTATAGAATTTTCACTGTGTCCTCAGTGTTGTATAATTTCACAATATTATATTGGTTTATTTTTATCCATTGCTCTAGACACTTAGTATGTCACTTCAATCTGGAAACCTAGTCTTTAAGTCAGTGAAAAAAATTTAATTGCTTATTTGATGATTTATTTATCTTGATTTTCTCTGTTCTCTTTTTTGCCAAACCCTCTTATTTGGATTTTGCACCTCCTGAACTGTCCCCTAATTTTATTATCTTTTCTCTTTATGTTTTCTGTCTCTTTATCTTTCCTCTAATTTTCAAGGTATTCCCTCAACTTTATTTTTCAACTCTTCTATTAAGTTTTTCATTTCTGCTCTTGTGTTTTTATTTTCCAAGAGCTCTTTTTTTTGTTCCGTGAATGTTACTTTTTAGAACATCCTATTCTTATTTCATGCGTGCAGTATCATCTGTTATCTCACTAGGGGTATTACTAAGTTTGTTTTTGGAAGTTTTCATCTCCCCGTATAATTTCAGTTCTTCCCAGTTGCTTTTGTCTGCCCTTTTTTTGGAGTCTATATCTCATTTTAGAGGTTTTTCTCAGATTTCTGCAAGTCCTTGATTGTCTGCTTATGTTTAAGAGTGGGGGACCAGCTTTTTAAAGCTGATTGGAAGCTGTGTGGGCCAGGGGACCAGTTGACTGCCATCTTTGCTATAGGATGATCTGACTGGGATGTTTTTTGGGCAGCCTCTGATAATTGGCATCTTTATATCTTTGATGTAACCCACAGGGAAGACTTCCACCCTGAAGACAGGCCTGGCTGCCCCTTTTCTGGGAGCCATGTGAGGGAATAGGGCTGATGTTCTCAGCACTCAATATGCATGGCATCACTTAATTCCCCTGTTTTAAGTATAATGTCCTCACTCCCAAATGTGTCAAGTGTCCCACCAGTTCAGAGACTCTCAGTCTTACTCTCTCCACAGAATAAACTTCCAGTCTTCTGCTGGAGTTGGGGTGGGCATTAGGCCAGTGACATGGAGTTGGGGAGAGAGTTTGGAGATCTGTTATTTGAATAGCTTTAAACAATCTTATTTTAGCTTTTCCTTTACCTCCACTTCCAGAAGTACCTGAAACTACCAATTCCTGATCCCTGTGAGGATTCTGCAATTTAACACAGGTTGTTCCTGACGTTTTCCACTACCAGCTTAGGAATCAGCATTCTTGAATCCGTTAAGTCACTTGGCACTCATGTATCTGATTTCCAACCTTCAAAAATTTGTTGCTGTCTTCTCCTTTCTTATTATTCCCAACCCTTGAGGGTATATGTCTCTCTCTCTTTAGGTAAAATTCATATAACATAAAGTTAACCTTTTTAAAGTTAACAATTCAGTGGCATTTAATACATTCACAGTGTTGTGCAACCATCACCTCTATCTGCTTCCAAAACATTTTCATCACTCCCAAAGAAAATCCATTTTCATTAAGTCGTTTCTCTCCACTCCCCCTGCCCCTAGCCCTTGGCAACCATCAATCTGCTTTCTGTCTCTGTGGATATATCTATTCTAGATCTTTCATATAAATGATATCATGTGATATGTGACTTTTTGTGTCTGTATTCTTTCACTTAGCACAATGTTTTCAAGATTGATCCATGTCGTAGCATTTATCATTACTTTATTCTTTATTATGACTAATATTCCATTGAATGGATGTACCACAATTTGTTTTTCCATTCATTAATTGATGAACTTTTGGATTGTCTCCACGTTTGGCTATTGTGGATAGTGCTTCTATGAGCAGTTGTGTACAAGGACTTGTTTTGGTACCTGTTTTCAATTCTTTTGGGTATGTAACTAGGAGTGGAGTTGCCAGGTCATATGGTAATTCTATGTTTAACTTTTTGAGGAACTGCCAACTGTTTTCCTCAGTGGCTGGACCATTTAACTTTCCCACCAGCAATGTACAAGTGTTTCAATTTCTCCACATCCTTTCCAACACTTCTTATTTTCTATTTTGTGTGTGTGTGTGTGTGTTTTAAATTATTATCACCATCCTAATGGGTATGAAGTGGTATCTCATTGTGCTTTTGATTTGCATTTCCCTAATGGCCAACAATGTTCATCTTTTCCTGTGCTGGTTGGCTTTTGTGGGTTTATGTCTTTTTAAAATACCCCTTTATTATAGTTTTGCTGGGATCTTGGAAGGGAATAAAATTAGATGTTTGTGTTCAATTCACCATTTTTACCCAGAAATCCTCTTCCCCAGCTTTCTTGCCTGAGATGATTAGAATGGGGAAGAGGGATGTGCTGGGGGCTGGGAGGAGCCTGAAGTGTGTATTGTACAATAAGGAGCACTGGGCCAGGAGTCAAGACTCTAGACCCAGTTCTACCAAGAGTTTTCTGTATGATACTTGGGCAAGTCACTATCCCTGTCTGAGCTTTGTTTTCTTCAGCTGAGTTTGATCTTTAAAATTCTTTATAGTTCTCACATTCTAAAGGTCTATGTGAGTCAAAGGGCCTGACCTCTGTCCTCCGTCCAAGTTGTGTGTGTGTGTGTGTGTGTACCTGGGTCTGTGCCTCTCCCTTCCTGAATCCGCCCCTCCTGCACTTTCTCCCCAGTGGAACACACGGGCCAAGCGGGAGAAGCTGACAGAGCTGATGTTCGAGCAGTACAACATTCCTGCCTTCTTCTTGTGCAAGACGGCGGTGCTCACTGCGTATCCTCTGGGTTGAACTGCTCTGCCTGGGTGGAGGGCCAAGGTGGGGTGTGTTGTGCGCTGAGCTGGGAGCGGGCCTGATTCAGTGGAGATCAGTGTCCTGGATGGGCAGACACCTCCTGAGTCCCTGGGGCAAACGGCCCCGGTGGGCTAAGTGCCTTAGACCCCAGAGTGGTCAGATCATCGGCCCTTTCTCATTCCTTGGATCAGGCTGAGAAGAGAGAGAGAGTTGGGCCAAGTAGACAGCAGGGGCTGGGGCTGGAGAGAAGAGGGAGGGGTATATGACACTGAGGAGTTCCCTTCCCAAACAGCCGATAAGCATTTATGTTTTTAAGGATCTGCCTTGCATTGAACCTTGTGTTAGGCACTGGGGTGATATGGCCTCTAATTTCAGGGATCCCATAAGACATAGAACCAAGATTCAAGAGAGACTAGGAGCTCAGAAGGAAGGAATAGAGGAAGAAGTTGTGATTCAGACAGGGGTCCCAGGAACCTTTCTCCAGCAGATGGGTCACATACTAGAAGGAGAGATTTGTAGACTGGGAATGGGCTGGACCCCAGGAGATCAGAGAGTGATCAGGCCATGCCTGGGTCCCAGCCCCCTCGTTTGCTGCTGTTGTCTCTTTGACCTACCCATCCCACGCCAGCTTTGCAAACGGACGTTCCACGGGCCTGGTGCTGGACAGCGGGGCCACCCACACCACGGCCATTCCAGTGCATGATGGCTACGTCCTGCAGCAAGGTGGGGCCTCAGCAGGGGTCAGGGGTGCCTTGGGGAACCAGGCCCTGACACCCCTTCCCTTCCAGGCATCGTCAAGTCACCCCTGGCAGGGGACTTCATCTCCATGCAGTGCCGGGAGCTCTTCCAGGAAATGGCCATTGACATCATCCCACCATACATGATCGCAGCCAAGGTGGGGCCTCTGAGGAGTCCTGGGCACTCACCGTGTGACTGTTGACCCACTGACCCATCAGATATCAGAGCGAGGAGCAACAGAGCCCCTGGAGGGCCCTGGGTCCAGTTCCTCAGTTTATAATCAAGGCATCAGAGATGCGGACAGGCTGAGGGACGTGGCTGAGATCACATGGCCAGCTGGTAGCAAGAAGTGTGAGGGCCACTGTGGTGGGCTGTGGGATCCAATAGACCCAGGTTCAAGGTCAGTCTCTACCATGTAAGAGCTGTGTGACCTAGAGCATAAGACTGGAGCTCCCAAGCCTCAGTTTCCTCTCCTGTAAAGTGGAATAACAGCACATAGGGCGGCCGTGAGTGTTAAGTGAGTTGCTGCATGCAAGGGTCCGCCCTGGACCCCCACATGGAACACGGCCCAGTAAAAGGCTGTTACCTTAAGGTTCTGGTCTCCCCATGTATTCCCCATGCCCTCAGCTTTCTCTAACTGGGGCCTTCCCGATCAGCTACATGTGTAGCATTCGTAGGGAAGGCACTCCCCATTCCCTTTCCTCCAACAAGGAAGGGGGAGAAACACCTTTTGTGGGTAACAGAGCAGAGAACCCGGTGCCTATTGGCACAGAGCCAGCGAGTGCTAGGAATGCAGGGGTGGTCAGGGTGGGTGGGCAAGTGTGGGTTGGGGAAGGCGCTCATGGTTTGTGCCCCTACAGGAGCCCGTACGGGAGGGTGCCCCCCCAAACTGGAAGAAGAAAGAGAAGCTACCCCAGGTTTCCAAGTCTTGGCACAACTACATGTGCAACGTGAGGCGCTGGAGAGGGTCCCCGGAAACACCCTGCCTCTCCCCAGCTCCTAGTCCCCCACTATGAGTAGAGGGGAAGAGAGAGAAGCCCTGCAGGTGGGGGGGGGCAGAGGAGGGAGCCCAGGCCCTCACACCACCCTGGGTTCTCAGGAGGTGATCCAGGACTTCCAGGCCTCCGTGCTGCAGGTCTCAGACTCTCCTTACGATGAGCAGTGAGTGGGGCCCACGGCTGGGGGAGTGGGAAAGAGGGCAGGCCTGAGACTCGGGGGGACCTCTGATCTTTTGTGAGTACCCCCAGACAGAGTCTTGCTCCTTCCTGGGCAGGGTGGCTGCACAAATGCCCACAGTGCACTATGAGATGCCCAATGGCTACAACACAGACTACGGCGCTGAGCGGCTCCGCATCCCTGAGGGCTTGTTTGATCCCTCCAATGTCAAGGTTGGGCTGGCTGGAGTCCCTGATGCCTGGGTGTGGGGGAGGCTGGGAAGGATCACAGGGGTCTGGGGTGAGGGAGCAGAGGGCCCAAAGCCCAGGTCACCTTTCTCCGCAGGGCCTGTCAGGGAACACCATGTTAGGTGTGGGCCACGTGGTGACCACCAGCATTGGCATGTGCGATATCGACATTCGCCCGGTGAGGCCTGAGCCTGTGGCTGGGCAAAAGGGCCCAGGAGTAGCGGGGAGACAGGGAGGGGCTGTTCCCTGCAGGCTCAGTCCTCCTCTCTGCTCGCAGGGCCTATATGGCAGTGTCATTGTCACCGGTGGGAACACGCTGCTCCAGGGCTTCACTGATAGGCTCAATCGAGAGCTTTCCCAGAAGACCCCACCGGTAGGAGCCAGCCCCCCAACCAGGGCCCTGGACTCTGGTCCCGGTGTAGCCCTTTGAGACTAAGTTCTTCCTCCTTCCCCAACGAGCATTCTGGCCACCAGAGCAGACCCCCTCCCCTGTGGCTTCCCAGTCTTCCCCATCCCCAGCCCTGTCCCTTCCCAGAACCCAGGTGTCTGCTTCCACCAGCCCCTCTTTCCCCCCAGAGCATGCGACTGAAGCTCATCGCCAGCAACAGCACCATGGAGCGCAAGTTCAGCCCCTGGATTGGGGGCTCCATCTTGGCCTCACTGGTGAGAGGGAAGGGACCTGGCCTAGCACTGACCATGGGAAAGGGGAAGACCCAGACGGCCCCACTGCCTTGCCTGCCTCCTTCTTGGTTCATTCAACAAACATTTATTTTTGAGAAAGGGCAGTCAGTGCTCCCAGAAGGGTGAATGCTCTGTCAGGACACAAATCAGGGAGCAGAAGGGACAGGAGGCTGGAGAGGTTGGTTGGGATGGGATTGTGGTGGCCTTGTGTGCCAAGAAGAGGCACCCACTGTACTCAGTTAGGACAGGGGAGACACTGAAGGTTTGGGGCAGGGCGATGTGACAGTCACATGCTTGTTTGGGAGACTGTGTCAGGCTTGAGTGTTTGGGGATTGGGGTGTGAGCCAGACTCCAGGGGACCTTGTGAAGAGGCTCTTTCTATCAGTCGGGATGGGGTGGCGAGCAAGGGGCAAATAGAGGGGAGGCAGGCAGGTTGGTTCTGGGGCAGGAGGTGGTGAGTTCAGTCTGGACCTGCTGCAGGGCAGAGGCAAGATGTTGAGCAGGGAGCTGGAGATGCAAACTGCATCTGGAGAGTGTCAGCCACACAGAGGGGACAGCAGGGCCATGACAGCACAAGGAGGATGTCCACTAGAGGAGGAGCCCCCAAGGAGACAGAAAGGGGGTCCGAAAGACAGGAGGCTGACAGTGCGAAGTTAGCTCAGTGCTGGGAGCATGTCAGCCACACCCAGTTATTGCGGGCCTCCTGTGCGCCTGAAGGGGAGACAGCCTGACGTAGTCCCTGCCTCCCTGAGCAGGGACAGTCTAGAGGCCAAGACCATTAAACAGGAAGTCACCACAAAGTGTGGGGGTGTTCTTTCAAGGGAGGACCTGATCTAGTTCAAGGGTCGTGAAGGGCATCTAAGGAGCAGTCAAGCTGAGATGGGAAGACTGAGTAAGAACTCAGGAGGCAAAGAGAGAGAGAGGGTGCCTGGACTACGGGGAGAGGCCAGCAAGGCCAAAGGCGATGGGCAGACGTGGTGGCTCTGTGTTTAGGAAGCTCACTGGGCTGCAGAGTGGAGAGTGGCTTGGAGAGGGCTGCTGTGGTCTCCACTGTGATGGGTTTGAGATGAGTGGATATCAGGGGTGGAACTGGGAGCTAGTCAGAGGTCCAACTGACAGAATGTGGGCACTGTTTGGATACAAGAGGGAAGAGGGGAGGGGTCCAGGATGAGGCCCAGGGTTCTAGCTTCAGGCAGCTCTGTCCAACAGGAACGTAATGGGAGCCACATGTGCTATTTTTAATTTTCTAGTAGACATATTTAAAAAGAATCCAAAGAATCAGGTGAAATTAAGTTTAAAGAATATATTTTATTTAATCCAGTATATACAAATATCATTTTAATGTGTGATCAATATAACAACGATTGAGATATTTTACATTCTTTTTTCTGGACTTAGTCTTCAATATCTGGTGTGTATTTGGATTAGCCTCATTTCAAGTGCTCAGTAGCCACAGGTGGCTAGTGGCTGTATTGGCAGCACTAGTGTAGAAGGTGAGAAAGACCACAGAAGCAGGTCTGGGGCAGACCTGAGGGAAGATGGTGACCTCAGTCGTGGACATGTTGAGTTTGAGGTCCTGAGGGATGCTCAGGAAGAGGTGTCTAAAGGACAGCTGAGTATTGGGTCTCATGCCTGGCTCCGAGGTCCACATGGGAAACGGGGCGGGGGGGGGGGGGGGGCGGTTTAGCGCATGAGCAGAAGCCACTGGAGTGGATGAGCTGGTCCAGGAAGGCTTGTTCTGCGAGCCAAGGAGAGAAACAGGGACAGAACCAGGGACACAGGCAGTAACTTTCAGGCAGAGCCAGAGCAACCATCAGAGAAGGGACAGTCTGAGATGCCTAGTGCAGGAGACCCTCAAGGGGCAAGTTTTAACAGTTGGAGGGTGGGGAGCACAGAGTGAAGACAACTCCATCCAGATATTAGGCGGTGCCGGAATGGTGAGGGTGGAGGAAGGATTTTTCTTGGGAATGAGGAAGACTTGACAAGTTTGTGAGGCCTGATAGAGTAACAGGATACCTGGTGCAGGAGGACTGTGTGTGTGTGTGTGGCGGGGCGGGGTTGAGGTGCTAGTTGGCCTGCCTGGGGCTGTAAGCTCCCCACCCAGCTCGAGAACAGCGCCTGGCCTGGGGCAGACGGGTGCTCAATAAATACTCGTTGAATGAATGAATCGTGGACTGAACGATACGAAGGTGGATATTCACCCTCTGAATATGAAGGAGGAGACGGGAGGATGGGGCGGGGAGGTCGTTGCGGGAGAGATGTAGGACTAAGAGGCGGGAGAGGCCGGGAGGAGAGTTTCAAGGGGCTGAGCCTGCAGGGGTGGAATGTGGGGAGGCGCGTCCCCCCTTCCTCCAGGGCTGCCCTGACCCCTGACCGCCGATGTCGTCCCCCTACCCAGGGCACTTTCCAGCAGATGTGGATCTCCAAGCAGGAATATGAGGAGGGCGGGAAGCAGTGCGTGGAGCGGAAGTGCCCCTGAGGGCGCCCCCTCCCCACCCACAAGCCCGCCCGCAGCCGCGCGGGAGGGGACGCGAAGTGGGGGGAGAGGGTTTCCCCAGCCCGGCCTCCGCAAGCGCAGATCGAAGCCCCCAACCCCCCCTCGCCCCCTTCTCGTCCCCTCCCCTCTCGTCTTCTTAGATTGTGATGTTTCTGGGTTGAAAGGAGTAAAAATGTTTTAAGAAAAAAAAAGTTTGGCCTCCTTGGGGGTGGGGAGTAGGGCAGGGGTCTTGGGGGAGGCGAGGGGAGGGCCACACCTACATCCATTGGTGATTCCACGGTGGACGCCGGGGCAAGGTCTGCGGGTCGGGCCGAGCCCCAGGAGCCACGATGCCTCAGGGGTCAAAGGGGCCGCGATCCGGGGAGGATCACTCAGCAAGGACCCGGCAGAGCCGTGCGATCCGAGAGGAGGTGCTGGAGAGAGGATGCTGCGGCAGGGGCCGGGCGGAGCCGATGGGGGCCGGGCCTGGGCGGGGCCAGAGGAGGGCCCTGGGTTGGGCCGGATCTTGGGTCTCAAGAGAGGCAGGGCGTACGCACCCCGGGACCTGCAGCTCAGGTGAGCTGGAGCTACGCTGCTGTCTTCCTTCCCGGGGCTCTTGGCGGTGACAGGAATGGGGTGGGGACTGGGGCGCCCCAGCAGCTCAGAACTTCTCTCCCGACTTGGGTAGGAGTTGAGGTTTCCCAGGGGAGACCCTCAAGTCGGGGCCCCTGAGCCCTTCTATTCCAGAGCCACTTGTCTTTGGGTCCTCTGCGGGGCTTGGGGCCCTGCGCCCTCTGCCTGAAACTGTAGGTAAAACTCAGCCATTTGTGCCTGTGATGTGTTCTTAGGGTCCTCAGACCCCAAAGAGGTAGAAACCCCTTGTCGCCCAAGTCCTTTGGTCACCAAAGAGGCGCAGGTGCCCAGAGAGGACTATGATTTGTCCAAGGTCACCCAGCTGTGTCCACGCCTTGGCCAGGACTCTTCCCACCAATGCCCGGTGGGCCTTGACCCGCAGGTCCCTGACTCCAGGAGCCCCATCCTGGAGCCCTCGCTGGTCCTGCTTGACCATGTGCTCCTATCCAGGCCCCTCCCTCCCCAACAGCCAGCAGGAGCCTGAGACCCATCTTTCAGCCTGACTCCAATGAGACAGACATCCACATGGCCAGACCAAACCCCCAGGTCACACCACTGTGACACCTTCAGCTTAGGATCCCACTGGGGCAGGCATCTGAACAGGGAGAGCAGATAATGTGTTACAGGGCCTGGGCATTGACTGGAGGGCCTGCAAGCCAGATGAGGAAGGGGCAGAGGTTTTCATGATGGGGAGCTTAGGAAGGGGTCCCCAAGGACACTGGGAGGGGTGGAAGCAGTAGAGGGGAGGGGCGTCCCTATCTCCGCCCTCCCCAGCCATCACCTCTCCTCCCCCACCCATGACGGGAACTAGGAGGCCAAAGTCTGCCCCAAGGTCAAAAAATTGATTGTTTTGCAAGAAGGGGGCAGGAGTGGGACTGTGGAGGGATTGGCAGAGGAGGGCACAGCCCCTTGTCCTCTAGCCTGGGCTGGGGGGCCATGTCTGGAAAGCTGGACTGAGGCCAGGACTGTGCCCCCACCCTTTGCAGGGGGCGAAGAACTGCCTGGGCTCAGGCTGCCTGCCAGGGCTGATAAGAGGCCCTCTGGGGGCTCCCACAAACGGTTTATCACTGGGGGGGGGGACAGCCTGCAGGGCCCAGGAGGGGGCGTGAGCATGGAGCGGCTTTGGGGTCTACTCCAGAGAGCGGTAAGACAGAGTGGGGTTGGAGGACACCTTAGGCCTTCTCTCCGGATCCTTTAGTCCCCTCCCCAACCCCAAGGCCGGCCCCTCCCCTTTCCACCTCCATCTCTCCCCTCCAGCCTGCCTCTCAGGACCCTCTCCCCTACCTTGTGCTCATTGGGCACCCCAAAGTCACTGTCCCTATAATTGTCCGATCCCTCCCTATCCCCCAGGCCTCTTTCCCCAATCTCATGCCCACCATGCCCCCCACAGCAAAGGTTGTCCCCAAGACTCTCTCAGACCATCTATAAGCGTGTGGAGGGTACTCAGGAGGGGCGCCTGGAGGAGGAAGAGGAGGACAGGGAGGAGGGGGCCGAGCCACAGACCCACTTCTGCCACATGGAGCTGAGGGGCCCCGAGCCCCTGGGCTCTCGACCAGGACGGCAAAACCTCGGACTCTGGGCGGCAGCAGGAAGAAGAGCCACCCCCTACCTGGTGCTGATGGCCCTGCTGATCTTCACTGTGGGTGAGAACCATCCTCCACACCCCGTGAAGGGCCTGGGCTGCGGGAGATTGCTGGGGTGCAGAGAGGGCACAAGGACAATCTCCATCTTGCCACCCGCCAGCCTTCCTCCTCGGCTATGTGGCCTTCCGAGGGTCCTGCCAGGCATGCGGGGACGAAGTGTTGGTGGTCAGTGAGGACGTGAACTATGAGCTGGGCCCAGACTCCCATCAGGGCACGTTGTACTGGAGCGACCTCCAGGCCATGTTCCTGCAGCTCCTGGGGGAGGGCTCCCTGGAGGATGCCATCAGGTAAGGATCAGCTTGCTCCCTTCCCGGCCCTCCAAAAGCAGTCATCCAGTCAGACTCCACCTCCCTTCCTCCTCACCCAGGACCTGGTCTCGGGGTTCTTCTTCTGAGTCCTTCCACCTGCCCCTGTGGCTCCCTGTTCAGTGGTCCCCTGGAAGGATGCCAGGCACTTGGAGCTGAGAGGAGGGAGGGCGGCTCTGGAAATGAGACTGCAGAGGGCCGAGGCTCTGAGGGTGGCACATTTGGGAGCGAAGGGAGCTGACCGTCTGAATGAGAACAGGGGAGTCCAGCATCCAGATATAAGGTAGGACAGACCCAGAAAAGTCTTGAATGCCACCCTGAGGAGCTTGGATTTTGGCCTGTGGCAGCAGGGAGTTCTGGGAGGTTCTGAGAAGGGCCATTTTAAGGAATCAGAAAAACTAGCAAATGCATTTGTGGGCACAGACCATCCCCCAGCTACATCATGAGAGATGCCAGCCAGACACAGGCCGTGCAGGCCCGCAGCACAGCACAAGCAGGCTAGCGTTTCTCTTGTCCTGCTGAGGTCACCTTTCCCTGCTGGGAAGGAGCTGCCCAGGAGGGCCAGAGGACAGGTCAGGCCACCAATAGCCCTCTTTTAGGTCAGGAATCACTTTTCAGTGGATTCTCCGGGGTTTTCTAAGCAGAAAATTATATAAGCTATAGATAGTGAGAGACACATAGCTTCTTTTCCAATGCTAATATTTTTACGTCATTCTCATGTCTTACTGCATTGGGGAGGACATGAATTTAGGTAATGATGACACTAGATATCCTTGACTATTCCCTGACTTTCCTGGGAACATTTTTATAATACTTTGTCATTGAGTATAAACTTTGCTGCAGACTCTGGATAACTTTTTAAAACTAAATTGAGGAAGTTTCCTTCTACTCCTAGCTTACTGAGTTTTTTTTTTTTTAATGATCAGGAAAGGAGGAACAGGTATGGAATTTTTTTTTCAAATATTTTTCTAGAATGTACTGAGATGATCACATAATTTTTCTTCTTTAATGTTTATGTAGCAATTTGTATTAATAGATTTCCTTGTCTTCCTGAGATCAACGTAAACTTGATCAAGGTGTATTATTACTCTTCTGAAACATTGCTGGATCCACCTTGCCAAAGACCTTAAATCTGTGGCATCAACGACACTCAGGGCTTTTTTTATTTTCTTGAGCAACGCTTGGTAGTCCAGGTACAGGCCGAGCAGGTGAACGTTTTGACAGGTCTAAAGGTGGGGTGTGGCACTGTGGATGCCATCAAAGGGCAGGGAGGCAAGAGGGAACAGTGAGAGGCAGCAAGCAATGAAGTGATTCGTGACTCTAAGTTGGATGGACGGAAGGGAAACCAGGGAGGAGCTGATGGACTTGGAGAAATTGGACAGTCTGGAGCGTTCGATGCAGTTGAAGAGCAGGTAGAGGAGGGTAAGGGATCAAGTTGGAACCTGAAAAGCTCTAGGCAGAAAGCGGGATTCTGGAACTTTTAACATTGGTCTGATCAACTGCGTCCTATTGATCCTGGAGTCTCCAGCACCTACCACAGTGCCTGGCGCTCAGTAGGTCTTCAGTAAATCCTCCGAGATAAATATTCCAGAAATGGAGTTCTGGCTAATAAGATCCAGGGTGTGGCCAGGGAATGGGTGGCTGGACTGGAGGTGACACTGATGACGTCATTCATTCAATTATCCGACAAATATTTTTGAGCACCTACTATGGCAGGCGCTGGGCTAAGTAGGTGGTGGCGATATAGCAGAGAACAAAAGTCTGGACCTCGCCCTTATGGAGCTAACAGTCTATTGGAGGAAATCAATACTAATCTAATAATCACATCCTGACTACGTAATTATTACTGGGATCTTTGCTTTGAAGGAAAAGTAAAGGATGTGAGGAATGACTATAACCAGGGGATCTGATTTAGATTGGGGGTCAGGGAAAGCTTCCTTGAGGAAGTGATAAGCTGAGACCAGGCTTTCGCCAGGCAAAGAGAAAGTGGAAAAGCATTTCAGGCCAGAGAACAGCACGTGCAAAGGGTCTGAAGCAGGAAGATCGTGGCCTCTTGGAGGAAGTGAAAGAAGGTCCATGTGACTGTCGAGATGCATATAGCTCAGGCCTTAAAGGGCCTTACTGGCTACATGAACTGTTCTGGATTTTGTTCTAAGAGAAAAAAGAGAGAACTGAAGTTTCAAACAATGGACTCACAATCAATGTGGGAGAAAGGATTTTTTTTAAGATCGGTGCTTGAAGAAGTTGATCAGACACCTGAGCCCATAGTGTAGTACCCTCATCAGTCGGTGAGAGTGAAGGGGCTTCCCGTGTAATTCCCTCCTAACCCTGAGCACCCCCACCCCCCTCCCCCAAAGCACCTCAGCTAATGTTTGCTGCGTGCCTTTAAATATGCATGTGCCTTTGTCATATATGTAATGTTTTATGTGCATATGTAGGTTTTTCAAAACATTGTTTGTGTAAAATGTTATATGTTCATTATCTTAAAATTTAAGCAACATCAAAAAATACAAAGAAGAATGTAAAAAAAAAAAAATCACTCCAAGAACCACTATTCAGATATAGGTATCTCTAGCATGTTTTTAATTTAGATAAACTTTTTAACTTAACACTGTGTTTTCCAGGTCTGTCTATATTGCAGTGTGAACCTCTAGTTTGTGCTTCGCCTATTATTTTATGGATGCATTGATAGGAGCAGTTTCAAACGAACACTAGAGCTCCTTGATGGGGACTGGATGAGGGGGAGGGGAACAGGAATGGTGATGAGAAAGTCACTAGGACCATGGATTGCAAAAGTCCTCGAGAGAGCTGAGAAGAGGGTGGCTGAGACTGCGGTGCACCATCCACATGGATTTTGAAATAGTGCAGAAGCTTACTGGACCGCAGTGGGGAAAGGAAAATGATAAGCCAGATGCCAAAGTCCTCAATGAATGCAGATAAGTGACTAATTAGCTAAAAGATAACAGTGAGGAGGGACAGAGGGTGGGACTGCTGGATGGCACCAGAAGTGTTCTACTGGAGGAGAAATGGTCAGAAATTTGAACAGTGGGGCCAGGAACACGCCTCCACTCCAAGCCCAGGTGGGATGAGAACCTGAGCTGCCTTCTTTACGAGTGCCCCGGGGCCAGCCCTGATGGTCTAGTGGTTAAAATTTGGTGCTCACTGCTTCAGTGGCCCGGGTTCGCTTCCGGGTGGCAGAACCACACCACCCATCTGTCAGTTGCCATGCTGTGGCAGCTCACACAGGAGAACTAGTAGGACTTACAACTAGGATATACAACCATGCACTGGGGGGCTTTGGGGAGAGGAAAAAAAAGGAAGATTGGCAACAGATATTAGCTCAGGGCGAATCCTTCTCTGCCAAAAAAAAAAAGCATCCAAGTCTCCAGGGAGACCTGGCGTCTAAGGGACAGTTGGGTTTCTGCCAGAGCAAAAGGCAGAAGGGGTATGCAGTGAGGATGCTGGGGAGGGAGCAGTTTGTTTGACACAGAAAGGGCACAAGTGGAGAGGGCTGACAGGCAGGCCACGCGGGGGTGGCTGTGGCAGAGGTGAGATGGAAGAATAAGGAGTGTTCAGGGGTGCCTATCGAAGAAGCCAGGGTGAGGTCTCCAAGGAGACAAGTGACCCCAGATTCCACGAGGAACCTTGATGTAAGGTGTCTCCATGAGGCCTAGGTGGAGGAGGGGGGAGATGGAGGGTCTGCCACCTCTGCCCAGAAAGCGCTTTGGAAGAAAAGCGTTTTCCTGCCTGGGGCAAAGCACAGGCCAGTGTGTGTATGTGTAGAGGGGACAGTGGATAGACTGGTGACTTTGGCCTGAGCCAGGAAGAACCTAAGGGATGGTGGACAGTACCCTAGCTATCCGAAGCTAAGGTTTAAACAGCAGGAGGCACTGGTGCCCTCCTGCACAGCCCTGGTAGTGATGGAGTGGGTGGTGATGGCAAGGTCAGAGACAGACTTGGCAGCCCCTCACCGCCCAGGGCATCCTTCCCACCTCCCTCCCTCTCCTCCCGGGCCGGCGCCTGGAAGTCCCAGCCCCTCTCCCCTCCCGCGCCCCAATCCCACCTCTCCCCGCTCAGGCAAACCAGCCTTCGGAAAAGGGTGGCCGGCTCGGCTGGGATGGCAGCTCTGTCTCAGGACATCCGTGTGGCGCTCTCCAGCCAGAAGCTGGACCACGTATGGATGGACACGCACTACGTCGGGCTGCAGTTCCCGGACCCGTGAGTGCGTGGGGGCGGGGAGCGCGGCGGGCGGCACGCGGGGGGACGCTCACCTCCCCCGCTCCTCAGGGCTCACCCCAACACCCTGCACTGGGTCGATGCGGCCGGCAAGCCCGCGGAGCAGCTGCCGCTGGAGGACCCTGACGTCTACTGTCCTTACAGCGCTACGGGCAACGCCACGGTGAGTGCCCCCGGCCCCGCCCGCGGCGCGCGCCCTTTCCTTGTGGGGGAGGAGGGCCTCGGGGAGCGCGCCTCATCGTCCTCCCCATCCCCAGGGAGAGCTGGTGTACGCCCACTACGGGCGGCCGGAGGACCTGCAGGACCTGCGAGCCCGGGGCGTGGAGCCGGCGGGGCGCCTCCTGCTGGTGCGCTTGGGGGTGATCAGCTTTGCCCAGAAGGTGAGGGTCCCCGGATTGGGGGGGATGGGGTGCGGCGGGGACGGTACGAGCTGGGGAACCCAGGGATCGGATAGCGGCAAATGGGAAGGGTCTGGGAGGCTGTCAGAGAGAGAACAGAAAGAACCAAGTGGGTAGTAAGAAAATGTTGGCGGGAAACAAATCAGGAGGTTTGGGTGGGAAACAGAAACATGGGGGAATGTGGGGCACAGTGGGGCTGAGAGCTGCCAAGCCCCTGTGGGAGGGCAGAAGATGCGGGCCAGGTGGTGCCTGCAGCCTCTCTGTGGCTCCACAGTTGCAGTTGTTTTTCCTGCCCTTCTAAATCGGTTTTCTCTGGAACAAGGAGTCCTTTAGCCGCCTCCCTTCCCCAGGTGGCCAGTGCCCAGGACTTTGGGGCCCGAGGTGTGCTCATATACCCCGACCCAGCAGACTTCTCCCAGGACCCACACAAGCTCCGCCTGTCCAGCCACAGGGCTGTATATGGACATGTGAGTCTGGGCCCGTAGTGCCTTCCTGGGGTCCCATAGCTGCACCTCCTTGCCCAGGATAAGGCTGGCATGCTAGTCCTGGGAGCCCCGCTCACAGTTTCTGTGTGGGCACCCCTCTCTCCACAGGTGCACCTGGGAACTGGGGACCCCTACACGCCTGGCTTCCCTTCCTTCAATCAAACCCAGTTCCCTCCAGTGCAGTCCTCGGGCCTCCCCAGCATCCCAGCCCAGCCCATCAGTGCAAACATTGCCTCCCTTCTACTGAGGTGAGGGGCATGTGGGGACCAGGAGAGGAGGAGGCAGGGAGAGGCAGGCTGCAGCTAGCCCATAAGGTGCCTTTCGGTGAACTAGAAAAGGTGGCTCTTCTGGGTGGGCTCGGCCTCTTGCCAGAGCCCACCATTTGGTGAGTGGAGCTCCAGGTGGATGTCACACCCATCTCCACTGGGTACCCTTGTGCAGGACACAACCTGCACAACTGTCCAAGGTAGCAGGCAGGGTGCAGAGGCAAAGAGCTGGAGCCAGAGGGTGGGAGGGAGAGAAAGAGTGAAGAGGGGGCTTTGGGTTCCTCTCTAGCCTGGCCTCTCTGCCACTTCCAACCCTTTCTGCCCCACCCCTCTCCAGGAAGCTTGAAGGTCCTGTGGCCCCCCAGGAATGGCAGGGGGGCCTCCCAGGCCCGCCTTATCGCCTGGGCCCTGGGCCATGCCTGCACCTGGGGGTCAACAACCACAGGGCCTCCACCCCCATCAGCAATATCTTTGGCTGCATCGAGGGCCGCTCTGAGCCAGGTGTGCTCCCTCGCCCAGCATCGCCTACAGCCTGCGGGAGGGGGGCTGCTCACAACCCACCCTAGCTGGAGACGGGGCTGGAGCAGGAGACCCAGGAGAGTGGGCAAGAGTGGTGCCCAGGGGAGGGAGGCAGCTTTGACTGAAGTGGAGGGTGCGGCAGGACTTAGCAGGGAGGGAGGGAGGCTGGCAAGTTGAGGCTGGACTGGCACCAAAGGGAGTGACAGTGAGGAGAGCTCACGGTCAAACCTGCCCAGAGACGGAATGGGCCGTTCTGCACAGTAGTGAGCTCCCTAGTGCTAGGGGTGAGCAAGCATCAGCTGGGTGATGTTATAGCATGAAAGGGAAGTCAGATTCCATAGCTGAGCCTTTCAAGCATAACTAGATGTGGATAGCCATGGGAATCACAGTGGGTTCTTGGGCCTAAGAGTGGGGTCACGACAGCAGCTCTCTGGGAAGAGGAGTGTGGTACCTGTCAGCACAGAGGGAGAGGCGCAGGGAGGCTTCTGATGAAGTTTAGATGAGGATGCTGGTGGTGGGAGTGTGGAGGAGAAGGGTTGGAGATTTAACAGGGGCAAACCTGTCAGGACCCAGCAATGGAGGTGAGAATGGGCCCAGGCATCCCAGTGAAGGAGCAGGCTATCTCCTCACTGGGGCAGGGCCAAGGGGAGGAGGGGCACTCCTTTTAGGGACAGCAGGGACTGCAGGGTCGGGGTCACAGAGATGTGACGAGCTGAGAGATGAAGATGGTAGGGGGCCTGGAGAAATGGTGGTGAGCCCCTGGGAGCACCCGCCCTCCCAGGATTGGGGAAAAAGCCTCTGGGTACTGCCAGTGTAAGAGGTGGACCCCACACATCCCCTCGCCCAGATCACTATGTTGTCATCGGGGCCCAGAGGGACGCATGGGGCCCAGGAGCGGCCAAGTCCGCCGTGGGGACCGCCATACTGCTGGAGCTGGTGCGGACCTTTTCCTCCATGGTGAGCAATGGTAAGGTTAGGGCCTGGGCCTGGGCTGGGCGGAGCCAGGACGGGGCAGAGAGGCAGTTAGGAGCACAGGCTGGAGGGCGGCCACTCAGGCCCTAGCTGGCCCTGAGCAAGTCACTGCATCTCCGTTTCCTCCTCTAAACACGAAAGTATTACTAGTCCGTGGCCTGAGTGAAGATGAAGCAGGAGATTCCGTATGTAAGCAGTCTCCATCACTGTTACAGTTGAGTCGGGGCAGTGGGATGGGCTGGGTTGGGGCCTTGATGAGAGGGAAGGAGAGACCCCAGGGGACCAGGACAGAGGAAGCCAAAGAGGGGGTCTATGCTGGGCCCCCAGCTGAGCCCATCCTCCCTTCCCCCTCTGCCCCCAGGCTTCCGGCCCCGCAGAAGTCTTCTCTTCATCAGCTGGGATGGAGGTGACTTTGGGAGTGTGGGCGCCACGGAGTGGCTGGAGGTAATGTGGGGTCCTGGGCAGGCAGTCAGGCAGGGGGAAGAGGTGGGGGGGTTCATACTCCACACCCCTCACCTACAGGGCTACCTCAGCGTGCTGCACCTCAAAGCCGTAGTCTATGTGAGCCTGGACAACGCAGTGCTGGGTGAGCAGGGGCAGTGCCACCACCTGGGCCCCCTCAGGTGCACCCCTACCCTCCGGGCCCAGCCTTGAGCCTGGCATCCCTCCCCCTTGCTCTCTGCAGGGGACGACAAGTTCCACGCCAAGACCAGCCCCCTTCTGATCAGCCTCATTGGGAACATCCTGAAGCAGGCAAGAGCCGGCCAGGAGCAGGGGAGGAAGGGAAGCTGGTGGGGGCCAGAGCCTGACCGGTCCCCCTGCCCTGCCCCCAGGTGGACTCTCCTAACCACAGCGGGCAGACCCTGTACGAGCAGGTGGTGTTCAACAATCGGAGCTGGGATGCTGAGGTGTAAGCTGGGGCGAGGGGGGAAGGGAGACAGCTGGGGGTGCATGTAGACGGGGAGCCTAAACCCACAGAGCACTCCAATCTGCCCACCCCCAGGATCTGGCCTCTGCCCATGGACAGCAGTGCCTATTCCTTCACGGCCTTTGCCGGGGTCCCTGCCGTGGAGTTCTCCTTCGTGGAGGTGAGCCTTGCTGACCCTGCCCCTGAGCAGCAGTCCCTCAGCTGGTCTGCACCCTGCCCCTGCGCCAGCCCGCACCCTGTCCCGGCAGGATGGCGCCCGGTACCCGTTTCTGCACACGAAGGACGACACGTATGAGAACCTGCACAAGGTGCTGCGGGGCCGCCTGCCCGCCGTGGCCCAGGCTGTGGCTCAGCTCGCTGGCCAGCTCCTCATCCGGCTCAGCCATGATCACCTGCTGCCCCTGGACTTCGGCGGCTACGGGGACGTGGTCCTCAGGCACATTGGCAGCCTCAGCGAGTTCTCTGGGGACCTTAAGGTCCAGGATGCCAACCCTGCTCCCGGCTTCTGGGGGTGGGGGGCGCTATATCCCCTTAAAGTGCTGCCCAGGCTGGGGGTCTGGCCACTCCTCCCCTCAGTCCTTGGGGCCTAGGTCCCCTCTGCCTGTCTGGCCCCTTTACTCCTGCCCCAGTCACCTAAGCCCCTAGGACTCTGCTGGCACCTCCCAACCGCACACGTGTTGTTCCCTCGCCCTTCATTCCGCCCCAGCATCCAGTCCCCCTATACCTCCCCACTCCTGCCAAGCCTGGGGTCCCAGCCCCAGCCTGGACCCCCATCGTAGGCCACGGTCCTGGCCCTTGCCGCCGGCCCCAGCCCGCACCTCCGCTCTTAGGCCCGCGGGCTGACCCTGCAGTGGGTGTACTCGGCGCGGGGGGACTACATCCGGGCGGCCGAGAAGCTGCGGAAGGAGATCTACAGCTCGGAGGAGAGCGACGAACGGCTGATGCGCATGTACAACGTTCGCATGATGCGGGTGAGGCCCCGCCCGCCGCCGCGCCCCCTCCCAGGCCCCGCCCCGCCCGCCGCCGCGCTGCCCCGCCCTCCTCCGCGACCTGGGGCCCCTCTAACCCGCCCCGCGCGCCCTTGCGTTCCTGTCGCCTCTCTCTGTGCCTGTATTTGTCCTCACTCCGCCCTGTCCTCGGGGCGCTGGACGCACAGTGCTCACAGATGCACCAGGCTGGAACGACCACCGAAGCAGGCCCTGCAAAGTGGTGAATCAGGGAGGGCCAGCTTCTTGGCCACAGTCGCCGAGCCAACGCGTGGCAAAACTGGGACAACCCCCCACCCCCACCCCAACACACACACACACAGCTCCCCACTGCTTCCCTACCCCTCTGGAGAGAAAAAGTAGGTCTACAATGGTCCACAGTACAAGAGGCACAAGGTTACCTCCCGGGAGGCGCAAAAGGCTTAAGAAATTCAGAGCATAGAAAGCTGTCTTCCTTCTGGTAATGAGGTGGGTTACCAAATCTAGAAAGGCTGCCTGGAGGAGGTGTCATGTGAAAGTTATACAAGACCTTATTCCCTCGCCAATTCCTCCTGTTTAGCTTTGAATACTTTGCAACCCGCACCCCATCTCCAGTTCCAACCCCTTTTCCTTCCATTTCCTCACTCCAAGAACTCAATCCTGCAATCATTGGATCTGAGGAAATGGATGGGTAGGGACTATGGGCGTGGGAAAAATTCTGTAGGGCAAAACTGTAAGCAGGACCATCCTCAGTGAGAGCGGGGTGAACAGGGAACTCATAGTCTATGCACCCGCGGTTTGGGGAGAACATGTCTGCCCCTTGCAGGTTCGCCTTCTTTCTCCTCCTGGCTTTTTCCTGTTGTGTCCTTGCCTGATTCCCTTGGCGTCACTCATTCCTTCCTTCTATTAACAAACCCATCCTCCTTGCTCCTTTCTCCTGGTCTCTCTGGTTCTCCTCTCTCCTCACGGTCCCATTCGTCCTCCCCCCCCTTCCCTTTGTCCCCTCCACTGAGATAAATGTGACCCTGCGGTGAGGCTAGACATTGGGCCTGGTCATTCTCATCCACAGATCTGGCTTTAACGCCTGCTGTGCCAGACTCCAGGAACACAAAGACACCCCCCTCACCCGACCCCTGAAGTTGCCATGCGCTCCCCAAGGGATCAAGGGCGCCTGTGTGTAAGGGACATGATTCAGACTGACATGATTCAGACTCAGGGCTAGAGAGTAACAGACTCAGGACTTCAGAACTGGAAACACAGGGCTGGGCCAGACACAGGGAACTTTGCAGCTCTAGACCAGGGGTTGGTAAACTATGGCCAGAGGGCCAAATTTGGCCTGCGTTCTGTTTTTGTAAATAAAGTTTTATTGCAACACGGCCATGCTTATCGGTTTTCATATCATCTATGGCTGCTTTTGTGCTACAGCGGCAAAGTTGAGCAGCTGCAACAGAAGCAGTATGGCCTGCAAAGCCTGAAGCATTTACTATCTGGCTCTTTGCAGAAAAGTTTGCTAACCCCTGCTTTAGACTGTGATGTGGGTCTTGAAGCATGCACAGAACTTGGGTTGGTGCAAAGAAAAGATATTTCACAGTGGAGAGACCCTGAATAAGGGTGTGGCAGTGAAACAGGCGTGGCCGTCCTTGAGAGAAGGGTGTGGACCAGCAGAGCCTGGACTGGAGCCCTGTGGAGAAGCGGAGGAGAAAGGAGCACCCAGTAGCGGGTTAGGGATCACCTTTGGGGAGCCTTGAATTCCAGGACTAGAAGTTAGGTTTTTAGGGTCTGGGCATCAAGGAGATCAGGGAGGCTTTTGAGCAGGGAGATGACGTGGGCAACGCGGAGTTTTAGGAGGGATTTGGCCAGAGTGAAAGTGGCCTGGAAAGGGAATGAAGTTAATGATGGCTGAGCTTTGGGTGAGGGTGGCAGATGGAAGCAGATGCTACTGTGGGTGAGGGGACTGGATGGATGTGAGACATTTGGAAGGCAAAGTTGACAGACCGGGTGCTGAGGACAGAGGAGGAGAATAATGATAGCAGCTGCCAGTTACTGAGGGCTGCCATGTGCTAGGGCTTTTCTTCATTGACTCCCCAAATCCTGTGAGGTTGCTAGTATTGTACACAGAAACTGAGGCTCAGAGAGGCTCACTTATCCAACATCACATAGTAAGTGGTGGAGCCAAAATTGGAAACCAGGCCTGGGCTCACCCCACTCTCACTCACCATCGAGGCTGAGAGCCTGGCACATGGGGAAGACCATGGTGCTCACGAGGGAATGTAGGTGCTCACAAGGCCAGGTTTTGGAAGAAGTTGGTGCCAACATGTGTGAGGCTGTGTCCACGTGTCCCCTACCCCAGTGGGCAGGTCCAGGAGGCTAGAGGGCAAGATTCCAGTAGATGATTTGGTGAATAGACTTAGCAGCTGACCCCACAGAGGTCCTGGTTGAAGCCAGGGGCATGGATGAGCTCTTGGATCGAATGATAGAGGTGTAAAAAGATAAAGAGTGTGTGAGACCACCCTCAGAGACTGATTTTGCTGTGGTGGTGTCCAGGCAATGGTTAAATAAAAACCTTCCCCAAGTGATTTTCAATGCAGTCAGGGTTGAAAACCACTGGACTGTAGGGAAAGGGAAGAGCAGAAGGTGGAGGTGGAACCTTGGGCCTGCCCACAGGTGGGAGCAGAAGGAACCAGAGAGGCTGGCAGAAAGGTGGGAGGAGAACCCGGCTAGGAGCAAGGCCATCTCAAGAAAGACAACAGCATCTGAGTCAGAGGATGAGGATGAAGAGGCAGGCACTTCATTAGGACTGGCCGGTCCCCTTGACCTTTGACTCTGGGCTGTGGACATTGGGGTGGAATGACTAGGGGTGGGAAGGTGAGGAACAGCAGGACAACAGACTGTGCTTTGTGGCTTTGGGCAGGGAGGTGAATGTGTGAGAAAGGAAGACTGGCGAGACCTAGATGCAGGTTTGGAGGCTCAAAGGATAGAAAGAAAGGGATGGAACCCAACCCACAGCCGGAGGATGCATCCTAGCCGGCTATGGGTGACGTCACAGAATGGCAATTCCTGATTGGTTGGCCAAATGGAGGCGGAACTTCAAGAAGCTGCTCAACAGTGTTTATTAAGCGCGTGCACGAGGTCCTAAGCTTGGTTGCGAATTGCTGTCGGGCCTTCGCTCCCGGGCGCGGCCCCCACCCTGACCCGATCCTCTTCTCGGCGCAGGTGGAGTTCTACTTCCTGTCCCAGTACGTGTCGCCAGCCGACTCCCCGTTCCGCCACATCTTCCTGGGCCGCGGAGACCACACGCTGGGTGCTCTGCTCGACCATGTGCGACTGCTGCGTTCCGGCTCCGGGGCCGGGGCCCCTGGGGCCGCCTCCTCCAGTGTGGCGCCCGGCCTGGGCTTCCAGGAGAGCCGCTTCCGACGGCAGCTGGCCCTGCTCACCTGGACGCTGCAGGGGGCAGCCAACGCGCTTAGTGGGGACGTCTGGAATATCGATAACAATTTCTGAGGCCCCCCCGCGCCCCCACATGCCCCTGCCCCCTGCCGAGAGCTCCTGCTCTCTCCGCCTGAGGGATTGCTGTGTGACCGAGGTGCCCGCGCACCACCTCTCATTGCTGCCCCGTGTCCCGTGAGCCCTTCCCCTCTCTTAGGGGCCCAGTCTCCAGTGCAGACACCCACACAACCCTGGCCCTGCAATGTAGGAGTAGGTGAGTGGTGCCTTCCTTAATGGGCCCGTCATCCTGTCAGCTAATCAGAGAGCAGCATCCGCTCCCTCTATCACAGTCCCTTCCCCTTCAGGAGCAGGGTCCCCCACACCTAGAGACCACTCTGCAAGGTTTCCTGGGCCCTGGGACCTGGCCAACCCTCTTAGTGGGGAAGATGGCTGGGACCAGAGCCTTATGGTCAAAAAGTGGTCTGTGGTGGAAGGGGCGGGGGTTTGGACTTCAATAAACCACCTGGTGGCATCTGTTGTGCATAAGCACCTTTATGCTTCTTCCACACCCTTCCCCCACCCAATCATCCCTCCCTTGAGACCTAGGGAAGAGTTGGGCAGAAGGAGCCAGAGAGGTGGCCAGTGGAAATGCTGACTCCATAGGAAGAACTCCGAGCTGTTCCTGGTACCTGAGCGACTAAGGAAACTGCCTAAGGAAATAAGGAGGGCCTTCTCCAAAGACCACCTTGGGGTGGGGGGCTGGCTCTGCACCTTCTCCTGAGACTGGGGAAGGCTACATAATTTGCAAGACCTGATGCAAAATGAAAATGCAGGGCCTTTTTTTCACAAAGCAAGAACAAAGCTTTTCCCTTTCTTCCACAGTCTCTCAACCTGTCATGGTAGTTTTTTTATTTGCTAATTAATGTCCAGATTCCTTAGACAGGGAAATACCCTGGGGCAGATCCTCACAGGCACCCAGGGTTCTGCCCCACAATTTGGTACTGACCCTGACCTGGACCTGGACCTTCCCTGTGCCTGTGCCTGAGCCCAGGTCCCTGCTGGGGAAGGAGGGTGGCAGCTATCTCTGGGCGAGGGCAGGGAGCTGGCGGGTGAGAACCCATCCAGGGGAGGTAGGACTCCCAGCACATGCTCCATGGTCCCGTTGGACTGCACTTCCAAAACATAAATTCAGAAGTCAAATCATTAGGAATTTCAGGATGGCAACTACATAGCATTAACCCCCAAACATGGGGCCCCCTCTGAGTGCTCACACACCTGTTAGGTTGGCTGAGCCTTGGGCCCCTCCCGCCAGGGTCCCCTTTGGCCAATCTTTGCCCAGAGAGGTGGGAGCTGCAGGAGGACAGGGATTTCCACGTGCCGCCTGCACCGCTTTATCTTTCCTGACAGTCTCTGGAGGCTTCGGCTCTAGCTTTCGCTCCTAGGGCAGTTGCATAAATCCTAGGGCTCGTCTCTCAGGCTCTTTGGGCTTCTCTTGGTCCCAGTATGGTGGGAGATGTCCTACCAGCTCCTCAGGACGCTGGGAAGTGAGGGCCTCTTCATCTACAGCTTGAGATCTCCCAGCCCCTGGGTTCCAGGATGGAACTGCCCCCTCTGTAGCCCCCTGAGCTGACTTGGTGGGTTCTCAGGAGACTGGAGTGGGGTCAGAAACCTCCTTGACTATTTGCTTCCCTGACATACAGTCCAGAACAAACTTCCCGAAGTGGCTTCTCAGCTCTTCTTCACCTGTCCATTTGCTCCCTGTAGTAGACAGAATGATGGTCTGGATAAAGATGTTCACTTCCTAATCTCTGAAATTTGTGAATGGTACCTTACACAACAAAAAGGACTCTGCAGATGTGATTAAGTTGAGGATCTTGAGATGGGGAGTGTTATGGGCTGAATTGTGTACCCCCAAATTCAAATGTTGAAGCCCTCGGTACCTCTGAATACAGAATGTGTCTGTATTTGGAGATAGGGTCTTTAAATGATGAAGCCATTAGGGTGGGCTCTAATCCAATCTGACCGGTGTCCTTATAAGAAGAGGAAATTGGACACACAGAAAGACACCACGGATGCGTGTGCACAGAGGAAAGCCCATGCGAGGACACAGCGAGAAGGGGGCCATCTACAAGCCCCGGATAGAGGCTTCAGGAGAAATGAAACCTGCTGATACCTTGATCTTGGACTTCCAGCCCCCAGAACTGTGAGACAATAAATTTTTATTGTTTAAGCCCCCCAGTCTGTGGCAGCCCTAGTGAACTAACACAGGGAGATTATCCTGGATTGGGGGAGGCAGGAGGAACAGAGATAGAGAACAGAGATGTGATAACAGAAGTAGAGGGTCAGAGTCAGAGATGAGATTTGAAGATGCTACACTCCTGTTATTTTTTTTTTTAGTGATTTAAAACAATGATCATTTATTATTTCCACCCTGGCTTTAAAGATGGAGCAAGGGACCATGAGCCAAGGAATGCACATGGCCTCTTAGAAGCTGGAAAAGACAAGAAAACAGATTCTCCCCTGGTGCCTCCAGAGGGGATGCAACCCTGCTGACACCTTGATTTTAGCCCCAGAAGACTCATTATGGATTTCTGACCCCCAGAACTATAACAGATTTAATTTGCATTGTTTTAAGCCACTAAGTTTGTGATAAATTGTTACAGCAGCCACAGGAAACTAATACACGCCCACTCCAACTGCTACAAGCTCAGTATGCTTTTTTTTTTTTTTTGGTGAAGAAGATCGGCCCTGAGCTGACATCTGCCAATCCTTCTCTTTTTGCTGAGGAAGACTGGCCCTGGGCTAACATCCATGCCCATCTTCCTCCACTTTATATGGGACACTGCCACAGCATGGCTTGCCAAGCGGTGCGTTGGTGCGCGCCCGGGATCCGAACCAGCAAACCCTGGGCCGCCGCAGCGGAGCGCGTGCACTTAACCGCTTGCGCCACCGGGCCGGCCCCTCAGTATGCTTTCTAAAAAATTTATTTAAAAAAAAAAGCATGTGTCCCAAGCTCCTCCCATCCCTCTACTGCCCCGTCATAGCTGTCTCAGAAAGACTTCCTGATCCCACTGGCAACAAGGCCTTTTCACAGCACACACCAGCAGGGTCATTAATGAGTGGTATCACAAACGCCTTTTTGGGGTCCTGGGCACAGCCAGCCCAGTGTCTTTTTTCGTGTTTTTTTTTTTGTGTGTGTGAGGAAGATCAGCCCTGAGCTAACATCCATGCCAATCCTCCTCTTTTTTTTTTTGCTGAGGAACACTGGCCCTGGGCTAACAACAGTGCCTCTCTTCCTCCACTTTATATGGGACGCCGCCACAGCATGGCTTGACAAGCGGTGCCTCTGTGCGCCAGGGGCCCTGCAAACCCCGGGCCGCGGCAGCAGAGCGCGTGCACTTAACCACTGCGCCATCTGGCTGGCCCCCCAGCCCAGTGTGAACGGTTATCACTCATACACATGTAATTTTGCGAGGGGCTTGCTGGACCATGGCGAGAGCTCCGCCCATACTCCTACACACAGGCTGCAGAGCCATTCTCTGCACACTATCGGGGCCACACCCCACTGGGGCCAGCTTGGGGTGTGGAGGGACAAGACTCCCCAGGCAGTGGGGCAGTTCCCAAGGCCCCCAAAGTAAAGCTGGAACAACTGATAACCGTCCAGCAGCATGACAGACTGAGTCTGTCTTTACAACGTTATCTGGCTGATTTTTGTCCCCAGTCAACAATCTGCCAGTGTCACTGGCTGCCCCCCGACCCTGCCCCCATCTGAAGGAAGGCTGGAAGCCTGCCTTTCGAGGACCCTGTTCTATTCTTGTGCCTTAGTTTCTCCTGCTTGGTTAAGTTGAGGTTATGTCAGGCAATGCCATTTCCTCCATCTTGGCAGGGACCTTAGTGTTTCTGACCCATGGGAATTGAAGTCTTAAAGGAAGAGACAAAATAAAAGCAGATAAGGGGGCAAAAAGGCAGAAAACGATTCTGGGGATTGGAAGCATCCAGGCAGCCCTGACAAGAGGCTCTGATGGCTCAAGATAGCGAGACCAGAGTTCTACAGCGGGTGGGACGAGGTGGTATTTTTGTTTGTTTCTTTTTAGCTGAGGGACTTTGATCCTATTTTAGGGCTAAAGGGGATCTTAAGAATCAACTTGCCCAGTTCTTTCATTTTAGAGGTAGAAACGGAAGCTCAGAGAAATTAAATGATTTGCTCAAGGTCACACAACTTTTTCAGTGCGGCACCAGGACCAGAACCCAATGCTTCGAAATCCTCACTGGGCCTCTTCACTGGCCCAGGTGCCTAGCCCCCCTGTGAATGGGAGTAGGAGGAACTGGAGGAAAAGAAGTAGGAAGAAAGGGGCACATTCCTTACATTTCTCAGTTTAATTTAAAAAATTTATTTTATTCAACTTGGAAAATGAATACAAATCCCTGGGTATTTTTGGTTGGGAGTGGGGGGAGCTGGGCAGGAAGGAGGAAGAAGGGAGCAGGAGTTGAGGCAAGGTATGAGCACACAGTGGCTGTTGCAAGTCCAGTCCCTGCCGGGAGGAGGGTGGAGGTTGAGCAGGGGGCTCAGGTGCGGAGGAACACCATGGTGAGGAGGCCTGGAGAGGGAGAAAGAGAAGGTCGTGTGTGCAGTCCTGGGGCTGTTAGCCCTCCTCCCGGCCCCCACCCCCTTAGCCACTACTGTGCTCACCCAAGACATAGGCTGCCACCAACTTTTGTCCCAGGGAGACGTGCAGGATTTGGGGCAGCTGGCTGCCGAGTTCGTCCTGGAGCGGCAGCAGCAGGAAGGCCACAGAGATGATGCCCGTCAGCAAGAAGAGGAGGAAGGAGCTGGTGGCCAATTGTGGGCGGGGGTCTGGGAAAGAAGGCTGGTCAGAAGCTCCAGCCCCACTCATGCCCAGCCCTGGGTCCTCCAGGGAGGAGGCTGAAGATGGAAGGTGTATCTACTTTTTATTGCCCTCCAGGGGTACACTGCCAAGTGTCCTCTCCTCCCTGGGGCCTCTGTCCCCGTGGCCACAAGAAACCCTCTCTCCTCTGGTCCCTCAGCATTCTTTTTCTCTCTTCACCTGGCCTTGATTAATAGCTCCTGTGTACCTGTCTGTCAGGCAGGGACCTCTAGCTCCCATCCCCAGCACACAGTTTGGTTCAGCATAATTGCTCAATACAGGTTTCTTATTGAACTGAAGTGAGCTGGCACATGATAGGAAGTACTGAAGTTAGGGCTAAGGAAGAACTTTTCCCTCTAAGTAGAAGCCAGAAACCAGGGAAACTGCAGTCTGCTTTTTCTCTAACCTGATATAAAATCTCAACTCCTAGGAATGTTTCCACCAAAAAGCAAAAGACTGAACTAGAAGACCTCTTCAACTCCAACTGAGCTCACCTCTAGGGTAATGCTAGGTCCTCCCTCCCTGCACAACTCAAGAATTCCCATCCGCCAACTCACTCTCCGGGAAGTGTCTGTCCGTGGGTGGTGCCGTCCAGGAAGGAGGCCCTGGGTGGGGTGTTGGGTCGGGCTGTCCCTGAAGCTCAAGGGGGTACGCTGGGGCTCTCAGAACCGAAGTGATGTCCTTGCGCCCCACCACTCGGCCCTCAGCTCCCTCCTCAGACAGCTCAATGCGGAAGCGGTCCTGGATGTCATAGTGGCTGGGAATGGGGGCCACGTGGCGAATCACACTGGCCCCAAGATAGGAGAGAGGCCCATTGAGAGGAAGTGAGTGAGAGGCAGTGATTCAAGGGGATCCAGGCCCCACCCTCCCAGAGCCTTTCCGTTAGGGGCACAAGGCAGACAGAGGGTGGGGAAAACAAGCTGAAGAGGACCAGGTCTCAGACCTAAAACCACGGCACGGTAACTCAGAGAAAGGTGGCAGTGACCCCTTGCTTCCCTCTGCCTCCCCACTCTCCCAACTCACATGTCAATGCAGGACTGAGGCTTCACATATCCTTCTGAGTCAAACACTCTGTATTTGGCAGGTGCTGTGCACAGGACTGAGGGATAAAGGCAGACAGAGAGCGACTATTGCCTCAGAAACCCTACAAGCCTTGTCCCTGGAGGGACACTAGAATCCCTCTTGCCTTCTACCCCAGGGCTGGGCATGACTCTTGTAGTGCTCCGAGGCTGGACATCCGCCTGCACTCCTCTGACTCCTCCAGCCCTCACAGCCCTCAGTGTCCTGCCGCCAGCCCCCAGATCCCTAGCATGCGGCGCCCATCCCTTCACCTCGGAAGCGAAGTGCAGCTCCCGTGGGGTTATAGAGGGTCAGCAGCTGCCGGGGTCCACTCCGCTGGTCCGCCCTGAATACTAGGTCCGGGGGAAAGACGAGGACCGGGACAACAGGTCCCGAGGGAGGCGGGGCGCCCCGGGATCCCCGCCCAGGAGCCCCGGGACCCACCAGCTCCTGGTCCTGGGGCGCCCCACGGCGCATGCAGGCTCTGGACGGTGGGACATCCGAGGGCAGAGCTCAGGGGACAGGGCCTGGAGTCTAGAGCTGGGAGGCGAGAGGGGCGAAAGGGAACGGGATGAGATCGCGGGGCAGGGCCTGGACCGATGCCGCTGCCGCCTGGGAACCCTGCTAGATGAGGCTCCCGCAGACCAGGCCCAGGCCCCGGCCCCGCAAACTCTCCCCCTCGCCAGCTCTGCCCTAGGTCCCTTTAGGTCCCGCCCCCAAGCCCCACCTCGATGGTCACGCCCACCCCACAAACCCTGCCCCTCGCGGCTCCAAACCCCGTACTGCTCTCCAGGCCCGGCTCCTGATCTCTACAAGCCCCGCCCCTTTCGGGTGTCCCAGGGCTCCCGCCCGCTCTCTCCGGGCAGACCCCGCCCCGCCGCGGACGCCTCCGGAGCCGCCCTTTCCGCCTCCCGCTCCCCCGGCCTGTCTGTGTGCCTCCGACCCTTCCTGAGCTCGGGCCCGCGCTCCTGCCTCCGAACGGCCGCTCGTGCTATGATGCTCACCTTCTGGTCACAGCACCTGTCAATCAACTTCGGCCAGACGGAGGCTGCCATCTTCCCGGGAAACCGTTTCGGCACTTCCGCCGTACGGCCTTTGTCACTGGCCAGGGCGGCTCGTTCCGCCGTAAGTGTACGCCGATTGGTACGCCTAGAGACGATTGGCTTGTTCCCGGGGGCGTAGAAACGTGACCGGGGGCTCTGGCTAGGACTTTAGCCCTGGAGTAACTTGGTGGGAGCGGGGCGTGGCTGGGAGGTGTTCCTTCCCCCCAACTCTGAGACCGTCCAAATCAGCAGCTCTCCCACGAGGAAGCCCTCTTTCTCCACTTCCGTCCTCGGCTCCCCTAGAAGCCTCTGCAGCAGCCAGAGCCGTTCTCCATAGTACTAGGTTAGCTTGCTCCCAGCTGGACTCGGATCTCAGCCCAGGGCTCCTCGCCTGGTTCTCTCCTTCCTGCACGGGACTCGGAAGTCACTCACATTTGCACAGGGAGTTACGATTTACCAACCCTGCCACTTACATCATTCACCGACTCTTCAGCTACTTTTACAGATGAGGAAACAGGCGAGGTGAAGAAGCTCGCCCCTGGCCACAGAATTGGTTAGCAGTGGAGCGAAAACAAATGATCTTATCCGAAAGCCTTCCCTGAGCATCCTATGAAATGTAGAGTCCCCCTTTGTCTGTCTTCTTATCTTGCTTTTGTTTTCTTCACAGCACTCGGGGTGACTTGACGTCATGTGTTTATTTTGTTGTTTATCTCTGCTCCAGTGGAATGCACTCTCCTCTCCAAAGGAGCAGAGACTTTGTTTTGTTGTGCCTTTGGCACCTAAAACAGTGCCTGCCATTTGGAATGAACAAGTAAAAGAGTGACTAGGATGAACTTTGAGCCGAGATCTGATTGAAATTAGGAAGGGAGCCATGAGATATCTACGGAAGAGAATCCCAGAAAGAGGGAACAGCAAAGACGAAGCCCTGCGGCAGACGTGTACTAGAAATGGTCAAGGAGCCAGTGTGACTGGAACAGAGGTTGTGAGGGAGACAATAGTCAGAGATGAGAGGAGGTGGGAGGGAGGATGCAGATTGCCTAGTGCCATGGAGCCCACAGCAGGACTGTGGATTTTATTCTGAGACTGATGGGAAACTATGGGAGAATTTTTTTTTAATTTTTAACAGCTTTATTGAGATATCTTTGACAAATAAAAATTGTTTAAGGTGTACAACTTGATGTTTTGATATATGTATACATTGTGAAAAGATCACCACAATCAATCCATCATGTCTACATAGTTGTGTGTGTGTGTGTGTGTTGAGAATATGGGAGTTTTGAGCCAAGGGGTGACCAGATCTGACTTACATTCGTAAAAGATTATTCTATATAGTAAATGTCTGTTGAGTTTAATGAATGTATGGAAAGAAATCCCCAAGATGGGGATCGAAACCATAGAAATGGAGATGTGACCCCTTCCTCAGTCAAGAAACATTTATTTCGATAGGAAAGAGGTCCCTAGGGTCAGGGGCTTGGAGGATGGCTGGGGTGTCAGGCCTGGGACCCAGCAGGCTGAACAGGCTAGGAGGGGCACCTCTTGCTGAGGTTGATGAGGATCTGGTCCTGGGTGGGCCGGTAAAGAACCACGAAGCTCTCTGGAGGAAGGACGGGACCTCTGTTCTCCTCCACCTGGCCCATCAGCAGATAACTGGCTCCTGGGGGAGGGGAGGGAGGGATTGAGAGCTTAACCTACTGAGACTTTGTAGGTGTACCCCCTCATCTGAGTCCCTCAGATTCTACCATCTCTATCATTTGCAGGAGTCCAAGTCTCCCTTCCCATTTCCCACATCTGTTACCTTTCTTCATGGGGGGGCACTGCTTGCAGGGCACATAAAACTTCAGGAGGGTGTCGGTGGGCGGAGAGGGCAGGTCCAGGCCTCCAGTTTTATAAGCACCAATGAGACTGACAGTGACAGTGAGGCCCTCCCCTGGGCCCCGAACCATGGACTTCACTGTTGCAGTCACCACTGTGGGAGAGTGGGGGTGAGGTGAGGAGACAGGGCAGGGCAGGGCTGGAACCAGAGGGAGGGGGGATTTTGGGGACAGGAGGGGAGGTTAGAGGAGCTGGAAGAGCACAGCTGGGGGACAGGGTCCTTACCCAGGTTGCTGGCACAGAAGTTGCTCTGCAAGGTGCCTGTCCGCCGGCACTGCTTTGGGCAGGGGATGCCTGGTGCATCTGGAAGAGGGGGCACTGTTTGAGGAGGGTGACCTACCCAGCAGGTAGGAAGGATCACTTTCCCCATAACAGCCTCATTGATGTGAACTTTGTTCAGAGCCCTGTCCAGATCAGTACCAGCCGTGACCATAGAGGCACCGCCAGTGGGTGGTGTATGAATGAATGAATGAGCCCAGGAAGGCACTCTTGGAAACAGCTCCCTTCAGTCTGCATCCTCTTCCTCCCCCTTCCCAGACTCACCGGGGCCCACCGGAGTTGCCTTGGCCTCAGGCGAGGCCTTTGGTTTCTCTGCAGGTGGGAGTTTGGGCTTGACTTTGGGGCCGGCTCCGGGCTTGGGGCCGGGGCTGAGGAGCGCAGGACCCGGCCGGGCGTCCTCCCCTGGACTCTGGGCCGGCCCTTCTTTGGCGGCGCCCCGTGGCAGGGTCCTGTAGGAGGCCGAGAAGCCGTCGGCCGTGACGCTGAGGTCCGAGACGAACTGGACGAGGAGCTCGTTCCCTTCGGAGGAGATGGGACTGCGGGCGGTGGGCATTGGGGGAGGCGTCAGGCGGGTCCTGCACCCCGGCCCTACCCAGGCCCGTAGCCTTTTAACCTCTGCCCTCGGGCTGCATTAGCTTCCCGACTTCGCAGGCCCCCCTCGCCTCTGGATCCGCGGACCCCAGGCCTGGCGCCAAGCCTCGTCTTCTGCCTGGCCCCCTACCTGCTCCGCCCGCTCGTTTGGGGTTCCGGGGTTCAGATGCCGCCTCTTCAGCTAAGCCCCGCCCCTCTGAACAGCAGCGCGGTCCCCCCACTCCCAGATCTGGGGAGGTGCAGGCGCCCGAACCCCGCCGCCCACCCGGGTGCCGCCCCCTCACCCCGGGGCTGTGTCGCCGCAGAACTTCCCCAGCCTCTTGGCGTCGTCGCTCACGGCTCCGTTGAACACGCTGACCGAGTCGTAGCGGCAGTAGGTGTCGCTCTCCAGGTCAAACTTCCCGAAGGTCAGCGAGATCACCTGGCGGCAGCGGGGGAGGCGGAGGCTGCGCGGCGGGACCCCGGGAGCCCGAGGGCGCAGGGGCTCAGCACCCCTCCCCTCCTCCGCCCGCCGTCGCCTCCGGGACGATTGCAGCAGCCTGCTCCCCATCTCCCGCGTCCCCTCGAGCCGCCCTCTTAATGCATTCACACCACAGCTCGGAGGATCGCACACACCCGTGGGAGCCCTGCAGAGGCGTCCGTCGCCGTCGTCGGCAAGGTTAAGTCCTGGCTCTTTCTCAAGAAACAGATCCAGAACCCCCCTCCCCCAACACACAGTTTATACCAGCTTCGTGTACCTCGCTCGCGTGAGACTCGTCACAGGTGTAATTTTACATGTTTTGTTTGCGTGCAAGCAGGTCTGGGTGTGTTTTTGCTCGCCACCAGCGCAAGCGCAGTGCTAGGGACATAGTAGATGATCAATAAATCTTTGCTGGCTGCATGCTGAAGGGCGCCGCCCGGGGCCCCAGGGCAGCCCGGGCAGGGGGTCGGTACCTGGTCCGGGGGCGCGATGATGTGCCAGGAACAGCTGATGCCCGGGGGGTAATCGGACTCGGGCCAGTTGGGCGTGGTCAGGGTTCCCTGGGCCTTCTCCAGCCGCCCCCCGCAAAACTGGTGCTCTGGGGAGGGGAGAGAGGAGCGGAGGTGGGGAGAGGAGAGCTCTAGGCTGGGAGCCTGTGCAGGAAGCTCAGATGTCTGGGTCTCAGGATGAGGGAACCAGAAGAGGGGGAGAAAATAAGGGTAGGTTAGCAGAGAGGGGGCTTGGAAGAACCGGGCTTAGGGAAGTCTTGGACCGCCGGGCGCCCAGGCGGGCGGTGGAAGGAGGAGGAGGAATTGGCTGGACACGCTCCCTTCTTGCCCCTCCCTCTGACCCGCAGCCACATCGCTCCTCTTCCCCTGGGAGATCCCATCTCCCCGGCCCGGCAGAAAAGTCCCCTTTGCAGCCTGGAGAGTCCCCACGCTGTGAGGGTGCCCTCAAACTGGGGCACAGCTTCCGAGGCGCCTTTGGGGAGGTCCTTGCCTTAAACATTTTTGGGGAGACTTCTGCCGCCAGGAGGGGGTGATGGGACCGCAATCGGGAGCCCCGGGCTGGGTGTAGGGGGCTCCGGGTCGGGGGAACCTAGTCCCCCAGCCCGGGGGTGCCCCCTCTCGCCCGTCTGAGGGAGCCCGATTGCGGACGGGGGCGGGCAGTTACTCACCGTCCCAGTAACCCCAGGCCGCCCATTCCACCCGCGGGTCGGTGACCCATTTCCGCCTCGCGCCTGGGCGGGGGCCTGGAAGAGGGGGTGGGTGGGAGCGGGAGGAAGGAGAGAAGACGGGGAGGAGGGACTGAAGGGGCAGTTAGTGAGGAAAAAGGATAAGGGAGGTAATGGGGCCCTAGGCTCTTGGGGTGGAGGTTAAGGCTGGGGGCGGGGCCTGCGCCGGGGGCGGGGCCAGGAGAGGGGGAAGGCGGAGGTGAGGGAGGTCTCACCAGTGCCCGAGGTGGCCCGCCCGCTGTACCAGAGCAGGAAGCCGCGTCCTCCCGTGCCCTCGTCCGCCGTCATCCTCAGGGTCACCTGGTTGCCGGGGGCGACTAAGGGCGCTGGCCGGAAGGTCCCGCAGAAGCGACCGAGCCGCTGGCCCGAGGTTCCAGACCCGGCAAAGACCTCCAGAGCATCGTAACGGCAGGCGGGGTGCAGCTCCAGGTCAAAGACTCGGAAGGAGAGGGATACAGTCTGGCCCTCAGGGACCTGATGGTGGGGACAGGGGCAGGGGACCCGCAAAGTCAGGCCATACACCACCCAGACAGAGGGCACCTCCCGTTCCCCAAGCTTTTCCAGCAGAAACGGCCTGAACGGGAAGGGAGCCCATCAGGGTGCAGAGTAGAGGGCCTGGGCTCTGCCAAGGGCTTGTGGCTTGTACAAGGGGACAGCGCCTGAGGTCTGTGGAGAGATTAGAGGGGGCAGGCATGAAGTTGGGAGTGGAGGAGCAGGATTTGAGCTAAGGTGTGAGGACACCTGCCGCTTGTTATTGTGGGCACAGATGCCATCAGTGACCAGAGGGGAGGGGCTTGGACTTCCCCAGGTTGAGAAGGTGGTGCTGTGGTGGGGGTCCCTTAGCAGTCAGGCCTTTGGCTGCCTGGACCCAGGCCTCGGAGACTTTGACAGGGGGGTTGTGAGCAGAGGGGCCTTCTCACCGTTATTGTCCAGATGCACTCCTTATTGGGGGGGTAGAGGTTGGGGAAACCCTCACTTGCCACATAACCTGACTCCCCAGTCACATCCCCTCCGCACAGGAACACGGGTCTGGAGAACAGAAGAGGGGTCAGCCATGAGGGGGGAAGTAATGGAGAGCTTGGGGTAGGGTAATGAGGATGGGGAGGCTAGGGAGGGGAAGCCAGGGGGATGAGCTAGAAAGGCTAAGGGATCTGGGGTGGCCTCAGCCAGCCAGGATGGGCTTGAGGTGGGAAATACTCCAGCAGAGGATCAGGAAAAAGTGGGGCTAGCAACTTGGCTGTACCTTCAACCCCCCAGAGTCCCCACCCCCACCCCAACAAGAATTCCCGGAATTCTCTTCGGCCCCCCCTTCCTCACTCTCCCCCCTCGCCCTGCCTGGCAGTCCGGGACTGGAGCCGCCTAACTACTTCCAGATGTGGACACAGCCACGAGGCCATGGGGGGGAGGGGGTGGAGAGATGAGGGAGAAGCAGCAGGGACGGCCCTCAAATTGAACCTGGAGACCAGGCTCCCTGAGCCCCCAACCTTTGCCCTGCTCCTGTTCCAACTAACTACTTGAGTATCTGACTCCCAGGTCTCCCACTTGGTGTCCCCTCTTCCCCCCGCAATCTCTCTATAATTCCCTCCTGGAATCCAGATGTCTAGCTACCAGGCAAGTTCAAGGTCTTGGAGCTCTCAGGTTCCATGGGGGGCCAAGAATCTGGGTGGATGGGGAGACTTAGAGGATGGAGGGTGGAGGAATGGAGAGCAGTGGTGACCTTCAGGAGACAGTGGTCTTGCAGCAGGGAGGGAGGTCTTGGGGGCCAGAGAAGGGTGGGGGCTGTGGGAGATCTGGGGGGTTCTGTGTTAGTAAAAGAATCCACAAGATCCACAGGCATAAGACCCCAGGAATCAGGGCTCTTGAAGCTGACTCCAGCTTCTGGAAAGTGCCAAGAGACCTACCTGGTGTAGTTTGGGGTCTGGCCCTGGGCGAAAGGCAGCAGAGCCCAGGCAGTGAGGAGGGGCCCCAAGAGGGAGGCTGTGGCAGCAGGCAGCATGGCTGGGGGGAGAGGCGCTGGGGTCCTTGAGACAGAGGCAGCAGCTGAGTTTAGCAGCGGCGGCAGCAGCAGCAGGATAATCAGTGCCAGATGAGGCAGCCTCGGGTGTGTGGGCGTGGGGACTGGCCAGTGGGGCGGGCGGCGGGGAAGGCGGGACAGGGAGAGTAGAGCCGGGACAGTGGTGAGTCCAGGGGCCTCTCTAGGTCCAGGACACATAAATATTGACCTAAGTAGGGGGTGGAGCAATGGAGGGCAGAGGGAGCATCAGGCCCTCACTCATAATCCAGCTATCAAGATCATCTGGAAGCCTGCTCTGTCCAGTGCCCAAGCATCCTGCGAACACAGCCTCTGATCCTTCCCGAGGACTCTCCAGCCCCCCACGATCCTCCCCAGTCCCTGCTTCCTCAGTACCCAGAGGAAGTCCTTCCCTGGACTCCCTACCTCTAATCACTCCACTCACCCCCTTCCTCACCACTCCCTGCTCTAGCTTATTTTCCACTTCAAATTTCTACTGTCTTCTCTTCTTCCCCGGGTCAGACTAGGCAAAGGAGAAAGAATTCTGCTCACTCATTTTCTCTCCCAAATATTTGGAGTTATGGGAGTGGGGTATGGAGGCATAGGATGTGGATAAAGAGGGTCTCTCCCTTATTGAGGAACAGGAGGATGGAGTAGAAAGTACAGGAAAAGGACAACATGTGAGACCAGACTTGAAGGTAAACAGGAGGAGGAGAGGAGGGGGGTTGACTTCATAGGGATGAAGGGAAATAGGTAGGAAGCTTTCTGAATTCAGAAAGAAGTGGCTTCCTCAGGATGGGACTAAGTCTGGTAGACAGAGGATCTAAGTGCGGGAACCAAGCCGCATATGTTGACTGAGTTGTTCCAGAAGGCAAGGCTAGGACTTCCAAGTCTGGAAGACTGGGTTGGGTTTTGGGAGTGGAAGGGGAAAGCCAGCTGAAGGATCCAGGTGCTGTCAGCTCTGCAGCAACTGAGAACCTGAGCCGCTTCTGCCCTGCCTGCCCTGCCCCTGCCCCTACCCCTGCCCCTGCCCCTGCGCCTGTTCCTGCCCTCCTGCGCCAAGCAGCCAGGCATCAGGTCCCCCATCCCCTGCCCCACGTTCCTCCCAGGGCCCAGGGTTCCAAAGTAGGCCTCATTTCAGCCTTTATTCTATTTGTCCATCAAATCTCTTGTCCATGATAGTCAGGTTGGGGGCCCCTCCTGGGCAGCCCTCTGAACATTTTACAAAACAGTCCTCACCCCGCTACAGCCCCCTCCCCATGCACACACACAGTGTTCATTGCTACCACTCCATCTCTCCTTAGCCCCTGGCCCAGGGCCAGACTCTCCCTCTAAGGAAAGAGGGGTCAGCTCTCAGGGGTTGGGGGACCTTCTCCAACCCCTCCAGCAGTCATCTGCAGCATATCCAGGGCCTCCCAGAAGAAATCCTTCTGTGCAGCCATCAAGGGCATCCAGCCCACGATCTCCTTCATCTTTTCCATGCGGTCTTGCCACGTGGAGCAACTATAGATCTGGCTGAGGTACTCCTCACAGGCCCGGGCTGTCCCACTGGGGTCCTGGGGTACTCCAGCCCCCGGGCTGGACTCGGGGGTCCCCACCACCCTGCTGGCCGGTAGGTCCCGATAGGCGGGATGGTGGTCGATGTCATGGCTAGAGAGCATGTAGAGGCACTCTCTGGTAGAGCAGAGGGAGCAGGCACACAAAGGGACCTTGGAGGAAAGAAGGGGCATGGCTGAGTGGGGCCTTTCCTGAGGGGTTCCCAGGAAGCCCGAGCTGTCGTGTTCCTCCCTCTCAGAGCAGCCCTGAGCCATCAAGTGAGTGGGCTGGCTGAGCCCCAAGGTTGTGTGAGGTCAAAGAGGGCCAGCAGGGGCGGCTGAAGGAGACAGCCAGGAGCCATGGTGTGCAGCAGGAAAGGGAGGTGGGTGATGGTGGGGAACTGGAACCCCTGGGTCCCTGCAGGAGCCCCGGCTACAGTCCTAGGGGCCACCTGGTGCCATTGCTCCTGCCCTCCCTGGTTGCCTGCTTGCCCGACCCTGCTCTGACCTTGATGTGGAGCTTGACGAAGGAGGCACTCCCCTTAGGCCAGCCGGGGAGGCGGCCTCCAGCCCCACAGCCGCAGCCCAGCAGCTCCTTGCTGAAGTCCAAGCCCTGGCTCAGCACCAGGGAGTGGTTGAGGCCGCACCACAGGGCAATGGGGCATTGCAGATAATGTACCTGAGGACACAGGGCCAGGGTCCCTAAGGGGGGAACAGCAAGCGACTGGGGACCCGGGTTGGAGAAGGGTGACAGGAAGGCTCAGGGCAGAATCTAGGGAAAGTAGGAGAGAGAAGAAATGGGACCCAGCATCCCCACCGACCCCCAGGAGATCTGCCCTGCTGAATGCGGAGGGCAGCAATTCTCCCTCCTCGGTTCTCCAGCAGCCCCACACAGTCTGACCACATGGGGTCTAGCACTTGTGGTTCTTCATCTTTGCTCCCCAGAAAACAAGGGCCTGAGGCCAGGGCCTGCTATCTATTCCCTTATTCTCACCCCACAGGCCTGTGCCAGCCTAGCCTCTCGTCCTGCCTTCCAGCCTCAGGGGGAGGAATATCCTTCCTCTTCCCAGGGCTCAAAGACTCTCCCTCCTAGTGCAATTCCAGGTGAGTCCTCAGGAAGGACTTTCCTTCCACTTACTCCTTCCTTCCCTCTCCAGCATTTTCACTTTGTCATATCATTATCTTTCCACCCTATTTTGAAAAAACATTTCCACCTGATTCCTGCTGCTTCCTACCTCTGTCTTTTAGGCAGCAGAACTGGTTACATGACCAGCCTGAAGTTGACTGCATTCTTGTTCTCACCACAGCCTGAACCTTCTGTGATCTGGCTTCTCTCCATATGCTACTGATATGTTCTCTCTGAAAGCACTTGACCCTCCAGCTGCCAAATCCCAAGGCCTCTCCTGCATGCTTTCTCCTGAAACTGTACGTGCTTTAATTTTGAAGTCATAGATAAGTAACTTACGGTCATTATAGAAAAATTATAAAATATTGGCAAGCAAAATTAATTTAAAAATCACTGGAAATCCCACCACCCACTATTAACATCTTGCTGGATATGCTTCTTCACTGCTCCCTATTCAAATATATAGGCGTTAAGTTGTATATTTTTAAACAAAAATGGGATCATACTATATAAACCATTCATAAACTTTTTTAAACTTTTTTTCACCTAAAAATATGGTATTACCATCTTTTCATGTTAGTAAGTACATTCCTACATTATCACTCTGTCACCATTCATCGCCCCCTCCTGTTTGAAACTTTCTGTGCCGGTGGCTTCTGGGATATGGCATTTGAGGGCGTGCCTCCTGTCCCAGACACAACTTTTTCATCTCTCTGCCTACAATGGCAGCTACTGCCCAGGGCTGCTGCTCTATCTCTACTTTTGTCGTTTCAACTTTGTTCCAATTTGGAATCTAATTGCCAGCGAGATATTTCCACTTTAGTGTTTTACTCTCACTGCAAAAAAGTCCAAATTCACATTCTTCCTCTTTCCTCAAACCAGCCTCCCTTTCCAGCTCACACTTTTGTTGTGATACCATCTTTCTTCAAGGGATCTATTGCCAGAGCCACCTTTGTCCTACACCCCTCTCCTCACATCTAATCAGTTTCCAGGGCCTGTTCATTTTCTTTCAAAACATCTCATGTATCCATTCCTTGCCATTCTTGCTGCCGTTGTACCAGCCCAGGCACTTGTCTCAAGTGCTGCCGTCACTCAACAGCCTCCCAGCCGGCTTCTCACCCACAGCCTCCGGTGCACTATGGCCCAGTGGCCCGTCCTCAGTCACCCAGGGGGGGTTGCCTTCTCCTGCTCCAGAACCCGCAGTCACTCTTCCCCATATCTGTACCCCTCCAGGCTCGCAGCACCTATACCGCCTCAGATCCACCAATTTCCAAACACCCTCTCTGCTTTAGTCAGGCCCACCTTTTCACTGTCCCAGGTATGTACAAGCTTCATCTCCGTCCCCAACACACAGAATGCCTTTCCCTATACCCACCCGAATCCTATCTAACCCACTAGGCCCTGCTCACATCTCACCTATTCTAGTTACTCCCTGCCCACCCAGGTCTCCTGCTTTCCTCAATTCCTAGCACACTGACAGCATGTACTGCAGAGGACAGACCTCGGAGTGCCAGCCAGTAGGATGTGCAGCAGTGTGACCGGCACTACACACCGGCTGGCCTAACCTCCCTAGGGAACAGGAGATAGAGTCCAAGGAAAGTGGAGAAGAGGGGAGATCCAGGGGTTTGAGAATCGTAGGAAGGGGGTCAGGATTGCTGGGGAACATTCTCACCTGTGTGGGTTCCCCTCGGTCCATTTTGTCCCCTGTTCCCAGCTGCCCATATCTGTTATTTCCCTGCATAAAGATTCGGCCAAATTCATCTACCAGGCCAAGGTGATTATAGCCAAGAGCACAGAAAAGGACCTAGGAGGTAAGACACAGAGGGGAGACGGGCATTCAGTTCTCTCCAGAGGAACCCTGAGCTCCAGAATCTCCCCACCACTAACCTGCCACCCCCAGCTCATCTCTTTCAGCCTTGCCCTCTTATGTCACCCCGCACCCTCGGTCCCCTGTCCCTCCCTGATCAATCATTTGATTCCTGCTCATATTTCAGACCTTTAGTGCCTTTCAATCCCTAAAGCCCCTCCCCCTCTGATCTGCCCCATCCCTCCAGGATCCTACCTTGGCAGGCAGTGAGAGAGCAAGCGGCATCTGCTGGTCCAGGGGATCAAAGGCTTGAAGGGTCCCAAAGAGATCACGATACACCCCTGGCGTATGCACCTCAAAATACACTCCCCCCTGGTCTGGGGGGTCGGGAGCCCTCAGCACAGCAGCTTTAGGCACCCATTTCCTAGTGATAAGGCCCCACCTGGGATGAAAGCTGCAAGATCTAGGGAGTTTCACACCACTAGAAATGCATCAGCTATGATGTCTGGGAACGTAAACACATCTTTTCACTAGGATGCCCTAAGGGTCCACCACAGAGCTGGAATAAGGATGGGGGGGTATCCATATTTGGAAGGTCTGTCCAAGGCTGGGGTCTGGAGAAGAAGGGAGGTGGTTCTTACCCGTGATGTAGACAGTACTGCTCTGGTTGGAAGCCATGCAGGTCACACGCAGGTGAGGCAGGCAATGGGACACCTTCCTCAGGGCCAGCTGAACTGTGTAGGAGCGTGGCTGGTCCAGCTGGGTTTCATTCACTACCAAAGAGTAGATCTTTCCTTCCTCTGGGGGATGGGGGAGCAGACAATTATGTAGGGGATGAGACCCTCCAATGTCCACATTAACTTCCCACTAGACTCTCTAAGCCATACAGGATGAAACACTTACTGCCCTAGAGTGGGGCTGAAAGAAAAAGGGTGGAGATGAACTAAGGGAAGAGCGACCTCAAGTTTCCCAGACTCCAGCCCCTTACCACCAAAAACAAATCAAGGAAGTCCTTCAGTGTGAGAGGTGAGTAGCGAAAACCTAGCAGGTAGATTTGGCAGAATCCAATTTGAATGTTGGGAATGATGTCTGGGGATTCAGGGCCTTACCTAGCATTAAGAAGTCCAGAAGGTCTCAGGCTTGGGAGTGTGGTCAAATATAGGGGACATTGAGAAAGTAGGACAGTTTGGGGTATAAACTGAGATGACTGGCATGGAGGTTGGGGTGATTAGAATTTAAAAAACCAGGCATTCACTAGAACAGTGGTTTCCAAACTACTTTTTGCAGTAGGGCCCTTTATTCATAGGAAATATGCAGAATCCTAGACTAGGAGACAGACAAAAGCAGAGCTATTTGGTTTGAGACCAGATGAAGAGGCATGCAGAACCCTCCCCACAGCAGGTCCAAAAGAATCTGCAGGAAACAATCTGCAAACCACTGCTCAAGGCCACACCTGTGAGGAGCAGTAGAGCCCGCTGGGTCTCCTGACCAACCAGCACAATCTGTTTGAAGCTCATGGAGTGGTGGAAGGTCATCTTGAAGACCCGCTGCCCACTGGACTGCAGATAGACCTCGACACAGTCACAGGCCCGGCTGCCGGTTGTGCCTGCCACTCCCGGCTGCTCCCGAGTGGCCAATACATAGAGGTATTTACGGTAAACTGTGTCACATCTTGGGTCCGAGGCAAACTGTAGGAAAAGATGAAGGTGTCTGGGATCTAAGGCCTTGGAGTGGCATGAGGCTGGGGCAATTAGATCCTGCAGGGGAGGACTTGGACTTGGGTACAGAGCTGGGAAATGAGGACTTGTTTTCCAGTTCCTGGTATGGGAGGGCAGCTGTCCTGAGAAGGACAGCTCAGGACTGGGTCCCTGGAGAAGGGGTGGATTCTCAGCTGCCAGGGTTCTGCTACTCACATCCTTGGCTCCGCGACACAACACAACATAGCGGCAGGCCCGCTTCCACTGGATCTGGCCAAGGGTGGAGGAGACCAGGGCGTTTTTCAGGAAGAAGAGGGTCCCCACGTAGTCAAGAATGAAGACGTGGTCCTTGGTGGGCAAAAAGCGGCGGTAGCCATGGGCTAGCAGGGGGGCTACACTCTTGCTGAGACAGCGGCGGCGGCCCCCAAATGCCTGGAAATACAGGCCCTTCGTGTCTGGAGAAGGGAAGGAGATGGAACGTTCAAGGGGTCGGGATGACATGAGAGGGATGAATCAGAGCTTCGGCAAACTAGATTTCTCAGATACTCTGGTATCTAGCTCCCTCCCCTTTGCAGGTCTGGGGAACAGACCCATTCCAAAGGACATATGGAAAGTTTAGAAGATATCCTCAATTATACCCCATATCTGAACTTTAGTTCTCTGCCCCACCTCAGCTCAGGGTCAAAAACATGCTTCTAAGTGAGCAATTCTTTGGTCCAACCTTGCATCAGAGAAAGGGAAATACAAGAATAAATACATAGAAAAGCAGCAGAAAGAGGAATGAAAGGAATGCCTGAGAAAGGCCAGTAGCCAGTCCTCCCCCCTAGCTCTGGATCTGCTATCTGGATCTCCCTTAATCTCTGGTGTGTGAGATGAAGTAACTGGATTGGGGCTCCCTGGGAAGGGAGGGAGTTTAGAGCATGTTTCTCAACCTGGGGGTGATTTTGTCCCTCAGGAGACACTGGTTGTTACAACTGGGAGAAGTGCTACTGGCATCTAGTGGGTGGAGATCAGGGATGCTGCTAAACATCTCTAATGCACAGGACAGCTCTCCACTTCAAAGAGTTATTTGGCCCAAAATGTCAACAGTGACAAGGTTGAGAAATCCTGGTTTAGAGGAGGGAAAACTCTAGGTTTAGGGAGTGGAGGATGTCTCTAGGATAAGATTTGCAAGAGACTTTGAATATAGAGGGAGACTTGGCAGGGATGCTAATAATGGGGGCACTGGGTGGGACATCTATCAGAGGGTGGCTCTAGAGCCCTGAAATACTCAATGGCATATGTTTGAATCTAACAAGTCCCTTCCAGAGAAAGGGGCCCTGGAAGGTTGCTGGGAATGCTGAGGTCGTCAGGCAATTTTATGGAGCAGGAGGGATCCCAGAATAAGGTAGGACAGAGGCAAATAGAACTGGAGGTTCTGGGGAAGGTGTACAGTTAAGAATGGCAGCTCTCTTCCACGGCCGGACCCCAGAACCCTGTTCTCGTAGGCGAGGACTGAGCCTGTGACAGATGCGTCTCCACACGCCCTCAGTGTCGCACACTTCTCGGAAGTAGTGGCAGGTCTGGCCTAGGGCGACTACATCTCTGACTGGGAGGAATGAGATGATATGCTCCACCTGGGGGGCAGGAGGGAGGAAGCAGGGGTTACTGAGGGGGCCCCTCCCTCAGTGGTCTGGCCACCACTCCTTTATTCTTTTTTTTTTTTTTAATGATTCAATTTTATTTATTTATTTATTTTTATTTATTTATTTATTTATTTTTTTGTGAGGAAGATCAGCCCTGAGCTAACATCTGTG